AAAGAGAGACAATATCTATGGTCAGTCTGTTCTAGAATATCCTGTGCAGTCTTGAAATGTATTGTGCTCTGAAGCTTTCATAGTTTTAGAAACTGCTAGAAACAACTACCAGCTATTAGCCCTCTAAAGGGCACCTACAAGAGAGCTGGAGAGGGACTTTTTGCAAGGGGGATAAACAAGGAGGCATGGCTTTAAAATGAAAGAGGGTGGATTTAGATTAGATGTTAGGAATAAATTCTTTACTCTGAGGTGGTGAGGCACTGGAACAGATTGCCCAGAGAAGCTGTGCCCCATCCCTGGAAGTGTTCACAACAAGGTGGGATGGGATGGGATGTGAGCAGCCATAGTCTAGTGGAAGGTGTTCCTGCTCATGGCAGAGGTGGAACTAGATAGATGATCTTATGCTCCCTTCCAAACCATTCTATGATTTCATAAGATTATTTGTTATAAAAGCTAATAAATTTGAATAGTGCTGACTTCTGACACATACCTGTTTTTATAGAGGACATGCTGCATATAACTCTGCTGTCAACTTTATAAACAACAAAACTGAGGTTGGAGCCACTTATTTTATGACTTACCATACTGTACTGAAAACATCATCTGATTTTATTGATGCTATGAGGAAAGCTCGGATTATAGCAGACAATATTACTGAAACTATGGGCATCAAAGAGAAGAACTACCGAGTGTTTCCTTACAGGTACAGTTAGATCTTTCTTGCCTTGGTGACAAATACTTGAGCAATGCAGAAAATGTGCTGACTAAAGACATATTAGAAACCTGAGTTTTGTCTAACAGAAGGTAATGCAGAGACATGGGGATTTCTAGTAAAACTAGGAAGATATAATTTGTATCCATAGCACTGGCCGCTTTCTACTGTCATTGATAACTAATTTAAATCCTTCACTACAAAGGCAGATATGACTCCATTTGGGGGCATTTCCTGGCTTTCATAGTAGGGTTTAATAGTTCAAACATAAGCAGATATGTTGACATGGGTAATTGCAAGCTGTGATGTGAATGTATTGACCTCAGATAAGTTATTTAAATGTAAAGCAAATGCAACAGAAATGTCAAGTATAGGAGTACCACACTAAGATTGAGTTGGAGTTGGTATCTGTACATCTGAAATACTGATCTCTGCCTCAAAGAATCCTAGCTGTACTTATGGTCCATCTGCAGTAGCTCCTGTAGATATCACAGTGGATCTGAGCCACCTACATTCTGGTAGCTGCTGCAGCTGCTTATATTGAAATATGGGAATTACACTGGCTTTGAGACCATGATCTTTATTTGAAGTGTTAGTGAGGAGTTAACTCCTACAGAATGCCGGCTGTTAGGTGACATTCCACTGATACAAGGAAGCCACTTTCTCTTGGTGACTTCTGTGGGGGATGGGGGAACTACTTTAACCTTAGCACAGAAGCTAATCTAATATTAGCATATAAAAGGGAAGATGGCTAATGACAACCTCTCTTTTTTCTACAGTGTGTTTTATGTCTTCTATGAACAATACTTGACAATTGTGCACGATGCTATCTTTAACCTCTGCATCTCTTTGGGATCAATATTTCTGGTGACAACTGTGCTTCTTGGTTTTGAAGTATGGGCTGCTGTTGTGGTTTCAATAACTATTGCTATGATAATTGTCAACATGTTTGGAGTGATGTGGCTCTGGGGCATCAGCTTGAATGCAGTTTCATTAGTAAATCTTGTCATGGTAAGTCAACATGACCTCTTTGCTTCTGTTTCCAAGTTTTGAATAGTTCTGTGTGCTACATATGTACTTGTGATACTGGGCAGTATTCTGCTGCTAAACTTTGACAGGCCTTTGAACAGTAGTGGAACTACCCTAACACATCTAGCAGAAGAGAAAATAAGTTGATTCTGATGACTAGTCCTAGTACTAATAAGATACAGCAGTTGAACTGAAGCTATACTGCATCTGGTGGAGGTCACTCTTGTTTTGCAGCAACAGCTGCATTGCTGCTGTCTAGGCTAGGTGCTGCTCCACGTCAACACGAGGTGGCTCATGCTGAAGGGGAGGATGCATAGGTTTGTCTGCTGTATTTATGTTCTACAGAGTAGATCTGGGATGTGCTAGCACCAGTATTGTTCCCACATAAGTGGATGAAATAATCTGGGCAGACAGCCTTGGTAAAGCACTCCAGAACTAGCTCCAGCAAGCAGCTGTAGGTTGCTCTGGCTTACTGTCTTCTCAAGAGGTTCGTGGCAGGTCTGAGGGTTAGTGTAAACTGTTGGCCCATGTTACAATTAGATGTGTGTTCAAGCAAGTCTCTCTACTAGATAAGGCTAAGATTAGCCAAGCGTTCAGTTAGTGCTGTAACAAATCAGGTATCAAATCATGATGTATATTCAGTGTTATTCTAAAGCAGTGTTATTGCAGCTAATCGTTGTAAACTGATTCTAATGTTCAATGTTCACTACGTGCACTGCATCAAAGCCAGCTTGCTTCAACCTCAGGAAATTTGACCTCTGAAAGAACCTCATGTTCCACTTCCTGTTTGATTGTCTGTTAGTAATGACTGGTGGTAAAACACCACACAGTGTTTTACCTGTGTGGCAAACACCTGGAACAGCCTCTGGGAAGCGACACTAAGTTTTGTCATTTCCCATGGTACTTTAACTCTGCGGACTGATGACAGCTGCTAGGAATCTTTCTAGCCCATCTAGAATTCTGAGTAGAGACCTTGCCAGCCAAGTGCTCATCTAACTGAAGTTTTCACATGTTTCCTTTCACTCTCCAGAGCTGTGGAATCGCTGTGGAATTCTGCAGTCATGTGACAAGAGCGTTCACCATCAGTACCAAGGGCAGTAGAGTGGAGCGTGCGGAAGAAGCTCTGTCTCACATGGGCAGCTCGGTGAGTATCTGCTGGGTGGGGAGGGGAAAATGAGTAGCCAAGTAACAGCCTTACTATTTTAAGAAATACTATAGGTGACAGTCTTAAGTCATAAAGATGGCCTTGCTTTTTCTTTTTGGAATGCTTAAAGCTCTTAAGGTCAACACAGGCTTCTACTAGTAATAGGGGTGATGAAGAATCACTTTTAATCTGATGCTACTACTACCTAATAGTAGAAGAGAGCTAAATGCTTTAGCTGAACTAGTAGTTTGGATAAACCTCAAATTGTCCCATTAAAATTCAACTATTTCTCTTCCAGATTGTCAGAGGTGACTAGGAAAAGTGGTTGTGAATATGGGATGCAGTTGGAGCTTGTAGAGAACAAGCAGGACTCGGTGTTTAGGCAGTACTCTCATGTCACTTGTCTTAGACTAAGTGAGCTGTATGGGGTTGGAATGGAAAGTTCTTGTGATGTGTGTACCACACCCAGGTACAGAACTTAACTGGGATGTGAGTTAAATTAAGTAATGGTTTCCACTTGTATCTGCCTGAAGCAAAAATTAATTAGGTGGCTGCATAGATCAGAGTGGATTTTTAATTATACTGAGCCTTTCCTGTGGGACCAAAAAGATGAACTCTTGAGTGCATCTTGATTTGGTCCTAGACTGGCAGGGCAGGAGGTATACTGCATACAGGAGACTTAGATCACACAGAAATGTTACCAAATGCTAAATACTTGAAGGAAATGGATTACCTAAATTCCTAGTTATCACTTAAATACTGTTTTTATTGCCAGGTATTCAGTGGTATCACGCTGACCAAATTTGGAGGAATTGTAGTATTGGCTTTTTCCAAATCTCAAATCTTCAAGATATTCTACTTCAGGATGTATCTAGCTATGGTTGTGCTGGGAGCAACACATGGACTGATATTTCTTCCAGTTCTGCTTAGTTACATAGGTAAGATGTGACAGTCTGCTCTATACCACACTTCAAACAAAAATAGCTGTCTGTGGACTTTCCATGACACAAAAGGGTTGCAGAGATGAAAAGCATCACTGGAATGTGCCTCTCTCATCTAAGTGGCCTGTCCTTTGGAAAGCAGAGGCTGACTGGTGGCACTGCAGGCTCACTGTTGTGGGCTTGCTGAACTGAAGCAAGCACTGCCTGGCCCACGTGGCTGCACTTTGCTGTGCTTTGTGAAGGTGCCTGCTGTCCCAGACAGCAGCATGACTAGCATGTTTCAACCTGGGGACAGGATGGTGGGTGGAAGCAACAAACCTCCTGTGGGTCGCTGTTCCTGCATTTGCAGAAACCACCTTGCCTTTCAGTGAGGATGGTCCAAGCACTGTCCTCTTGAATTTGATAATGCATGTCTATAGAGTAGTCCTTAAGTAAGGCTCAGTTTAAGTCTACCTTTAAAGGGCTTAAGACTGATGGGGATTCATCTCCCACTGCCTTTGTTGGGGCTGTCAGCTATGAACAGCTGAGCTGAAGCACGTTGCTGACTTAAGCTGGCCCTAGTAAGATCATGCATGCTTCCTGATGACTGATCACCTGAAACGTGGAGCCTTTGGATAACTGTGTTCTCTCCATCAGGCCCATCAGTAAATAAAGCTAAAACTCGTGCTGCACAAGAGAGGACCAGAGGTACAGAACGGGAGAGACTCCTCTACTTCTAGTTTTTAACCGTGTTCAGTGGACTGCCTGAACTGTGGCTTAGGCCCAACTCCTAAGAACTGAAGCGCAGCAGTGTTCTATGACTATCACACTGTAACCACCACAGACTTGACTCCTGCACAGATTCAACTAGAAGATACCAGCTGCAGCTTTGGACATAGCTTTAAACTCAGGAAATGCTAAGTGTGGCTCAAGTAACAGTATTATAAAACTAGATGTGTTAATAAGATTACTAAAACACTTCTGTTTTCAAGAGGTTGCATCTTTTTTCTTCAGAAACCTAAACCAGCTGTAGTAAGTTGAATAGCATTTTGTCAATGAAATTGAGGTGATGTGTATGAGAATGGACTGCTAAACCACTGACACTAATTTTAAATGCAGGTCAATGCAATTTTTGTCTCTATTTTTAGGGGGAAGCCATCACACGTTGTAATATTTTTAGTACTATTTGCCAAAATGTCTTGTATATACTTTATTATAAAATAGCAATTTTGTAGTTCAAAAATCTACTTAAATGCAATAAATTAAGTTTATACATTTCAGTTGAAGAGTCTTTCAGAATGTTGTGGGTTTCATGAGAGCTTGTTCTCCAAAAACTTGTTTGAAGAAGGTGACATGTTCTTCACAGTGCTCACCTACAGGAGACAAAAGTTCCATGTTCACTTTACAACTTACAAACCAAGAACCAAGATTGTGTAGTTTCACTTATCTTCATGTATTGGTACTAATTCTTATCTTTAATGTGTGTAAGTACCAGAGTTGAACAAACAGAAAGCATTGGAATACTGAGGTATTTCCAGTCCTGTGACTGGTATTCATGAGGTGATGCAGATGTTTATTTGATCTAGTTCATGGATCTAACCAGCAGATTCACAGCATGAGAGCCATTTACTGTCAAGATGCAAGAGTGTGGGGTGGGATTCTGCACCTACAGAATGTCTGGTGATTACAAACTGGTGATGTTGCTGGTGCAAGCAATTTGGCTTGGCTTTTAAAGAAAGAACTGTAGCATAAAACAGGCCTTGAATTTTTGTAATTAGTGGAAATAGACAATTAAACTCAAAAGGTTTCCCAACCTGGTTGCTGACTTCAGGAGAAAATACTAATTGGATATAATGGCTCTGCTAACCTAAGCAGTGAGAGCAACTGCAAGTCAAACAGGTTCATCTGCAAGTTTATGTTTAGTTCAGCCTCTTTACTCCTGGGTGCAGTAGACAAAGGAGTAAGCCAAGTTAGTTCGGAACTATGCTTAAAGGTGAGTAGAAAATATATTCTAAACTGTGCCAAGAGTTTTATCATCTAATACAGGCTCAACTGGATTGCACAACTGATTATCCTGGTCAAACTGCTTATTGCTTACCTGGTGTGAAGCTGGGGTTTCCTCGTAACCGCTGGTTTCTTTGTTCAAAGAATCGGAATATGGTGTAGAAAAGCATCTCATCCTCTGCTTGTTTCGCTGCATCGAGGAATTTGCGGGCTGAAATGCTGTCGTGTCCTCCAATACCCCTGATGAATCTCAAGGCAGCCAAAACTTGGTGTTTGGACAACAGAACTTCCACTATTTCATCATTTGCTGTGGAAAGTCTCTGTGAAGTCAATCACAGCTGTAAGACAACGCTTCTAATGCATGCAAATAATTGATGCTACTTAATGACGTCAAGCCTGGTCAGGGAAGCTGTTTGACCAGTCTAACCCACATGTGACATGGAGGTACTAGAGTCAGAAATGCTTACTTTCAACATGTCCAGAGAGAGCTGATGTGCAGGAGGGTAAATGCTTTCCAGGGACAGTAAGAGACAAGCCTAGGGCAAAAGTAGAAATAACCTTAAAATTCTGAAGACTTCTCCCTTCCCTCACTAGCTTATTGGAGCTACTTGCTTACATACCAAGGGCTTTGAGTCACTGAGCACATGGTACTGCAGAAACTGATGGAGCATGTAGAACAAGTTGTGCTGAACAAGGGTTTTGATGACCAGCTCATACAAGTAGTGCTGTGAATGTAGGAAGAAGACAATCAAAGGCAGGTCTCTGTATGTGTTTTTACAATCTACAAGTCAATATTGTATAGAATTTACACACGAGACTAAGACTGGACTAAAATTTCATGGAGTGGGGCAATGTACTTGGCACATAAATGATTTACCTGAACTGCAATCTGGAACTGGTTGAGAGAGCGAATGTATTCCATCAAGACGGCTATAGTGAACTTGTGAGGTGCTTCCTGGACAAAGAAGAAAGTGTTAGGTGGAAATTGCATGGCTTCTCTGTTAATAATCCCATAAAAATAGGCATCAAAATATGTTAATCCTGACCAAGCTTCCTGCAGCCAATTTCAAGCCGTCAAGTTAAGTTGGCTGATCTGAGACTGCTGCCAAATTAGCCCTTAAATTTGTTTCATGAGCCCTTAAAATTAACTTACCTTCTTCTCTGTAAAAACAGATAAAACATGTGTGTACATATCAGACTGGTCAATAACTGCTTGAGTGCGGACAGGACGTTTCAGGAGTGGATTACTTCTACTCAGGCCTGTTTCTACCACCTAGGAGGAAAAAAAGGTCTTTTAAAAAGAAACCTGTAGTGTAGTACAGTTCCAAGTCAGTTGTACAGACTGTTTTCTGTCTCAAAAAACAACTATAAATTTGTGTTAACAAGGAAATTCATATCTGTGGTCATGTTATATTAGATGCATTTTGTTCAATAAGGATTTAATATTAAATTTAAAACTGTTTTTTAAATTTATATAAATACAGCTGCTCTTATATACCTCAAAGCCAGGAGATAAATCTTAACTACACTGACATGGGCCCTCAGGCTTAGAAGAGTTTTGAGTATGTGACTGTACTCTGAGTTAGTGCTTGAATTTGTTACTTAAAGGGAAGTAACTGAGATGTATCGGGACTGCCTGTTTACACCATGATACAGTGTGCAGTGAAATCAGTGCTTTGGAAACCAAGGCAGTAGTTATTGATTCAGAGTCGATTTTTCAGCTTCTACCTTTTCTCTGCTTTCAAGCACTGGGGTATGTTAACCCATCACTCTGGAGATGGGCTATGCAGCACCTGCACACAAGTGTCAAGTGGGGGTCTTAGTGCATTTTCCACTGTAGACTTTTACTTGTGAGACTGAAGCAGTCAGGACCTTTTGGGGTAAGCCCAAACTTCCTAAGTAGAAAGGAGCATGCTTTCACCTTGATGCCACCTGAAAAGCAAACAGCATCGTCCTGTAAGCTGCTATAGCTAACATTGTTTACCATCGTATAGCTTTGCTCAGCTTCCAAGTACTTCTTATATTCATGATTCAGTTTGTCAAAAACAGTTGCAATCACAGACAGTGATCCTCTCTCTGGCTCACTGAGCACTGAAAAGATAAAAAGAACATGGTGTACCTATTCAACAATTTCATACACATGAAATAATCAGGAAATGTGTTATTATACTAGACTTCAGTATTTACAACTCTCTGAAAGCATGAGGCCATTAGGAAGCATATTTTGTCTTGAAGTACATGTGCATTATCAGCTGAAACTGCTCTGGTAAGGAGCCATGGTAAAAAATGCTACCTTCTTCCCTGCTTGATACATAGAATGAAGTTCTTACTTTTTGAGAGGATTTAAAGGATACAGAGTTTACATGGAACAGGAGCCTGACTGGTCACAGAAGCTGGGCCTGCAGAAAAAAGAACATCGGGTGAAGAACAGTAGTAACTCAAGTATTTTATGCTGAAAAGGTAAGTATGGAATGCAACACTCTAGCATGTAGTCAAAAAGATCCATTTCTCTGTGTAGCCAGATGTACACAAAAAATCTGACACTGAGAAGGCAAACAAATCCTTCAAAACATGATTGTTTTGTTTTTTCAGCCAAGTGAAATAATGTATGTAGAAATATTCCAGCTCCAGTACTGTAATTCTAAATACACAGATTCCATTTGCTGTATTTAAATGTATACTCTTTAAAAGGAAGAGTAGTTCGTACATTCTGATCCTAACCTTTAATACAAATCTCCATCTGCAGATTTATCATACTTGCTATCAGATGTTAGAGCTTTTAATGTGCAATCTTTTTGTATAGAAGCATCTTTCTCTTCTACAAAGAAAACCTCACTGCTCTATCACCTGCTAGTGAAACTATGCTCAGGCTATTTCTATACTCCCAGCTTGAGGGTAACTACCTGTAACTACCTGGAGAACAGAAAGGTAATCCAAGAAGAATCTAAGCATTGGAGTCCTAACACTGATTGCAGCATTACTTTTAAACTGATCCCAAACTTGATTCTGAGCTTGTATTGTCTTTCAGCCTCTAACTTCATAAGTCACACAGTCCTGACTTAAGCCAGAAAAGCATGCAGTCCTTTTGAGCACCCACAAGCTTTTCGCACTGATATAATTCGCATAATTCGCATAATTCGTCCTGACTTAAGCCAGAAAAGCATGCAGTGCTTTTGAGCACCCACAAGCTTTGAGAGCAATGGCCAAAAAACTCCCCGCACCCAACACTTTTCAAGTGTAAAAGCAAAGTACTATAGGAAACGTGCACCTTAAACAGCAACTCTTCTGTAGTTGGCACACATTTGGAACACCAACTTCTGCTCAATTGCTTCTTACCTTCTTCCTTCCTCACCCTCTTAAATATGTATAACTGAAGTGTTAGAAACCTGAAGCACTCCTGTATGTGAGCTGTTACATTTAAGTACTCTTGCTAAGTGTTAGGTTATTCATTATATAGTGGTTCTACCTGCTACAGGTATTTGATAGGGTTGTATTGATCGAGGTGGAAGTACAAACTGATGGATGGTTGTGGACCCATCAAAGTCTCCTTTTAGCTTGATGTCAAATATAACTGAAGTCTGCAATTAAAAAGAGGCAGTTAGTATTGATGGATGTGAATCACCACCCATTTACAGGCACTCGGTCTGCTTTTCACATTTCCATCTAGTATTCTCCGTTAGAATCAGAGTGGTTGGGGTTGGAAGGGATGTACTGGGGGATGCAGTGAGGACATTTTTCACTGATCAGGCTGCTCAAGGCTCCATTCAACCTGGCACTGCACCCTTTCAGCAATGGGGCATCCTGTTCCAGGGTCTCACCATCCCCACTGTAAAAAGCTGCATCCCTTGCATCCCATCTAAGTCTATCTCCCTTTGGCCTAAAACCACTGCCCCTAGAACTATCACTATGTGCCCTAGAAAAAAGTCTCTCTCAGTCTGTCTTGCACAACACATGACTTTGACACTGCACAGTTAAGGATGCTAGAAACTCTGACTGAGGAAAATTGTCTATCTTCCTCTGATATCCTCACATTTCTACCATTCAGTCTTGTTCAACTCAAGTCACTAACACTTCTAACCCAGTATGGACCACCAGGGAAAGCAGCTTTGCTTTCAGTGCCAATGAAACTCCAATTACTGGTGTCTCCCAAAGGCAAAGTGAGTAATGTTTTCTGGGTCTCTATAGTCATGTTTATAGCTTGACCAAAACACCAGGGAGGAAGTGCTCTGGGTTAAATGCTAATGTGTAGAATTAACACGAAATATACATGAAACATCAACTAATCCTCCTAAGGAGGTAACAGGAGGTGGGGCAACTAAGGAGGTGCCCCAGTGCTTGAAGTTCTTGAAGAGAAGATAATACAAGAAGTCCGAGTCTTTTCCCAAGTTAAGAGCAGAGTACCACTTCAGCTTAACCACTGATCAAGCCTTGCTGCTGGGACTACAGACAAGAAGTTTACCTGTGCTGCCAGATGCACAAGAAGGTTTGTGCTCATACCACTTTTTAGGGAGCCAGGCCTTCAGACTAAAGGAGAGTAAGTTTGTGTCACAGAAACATTATCATTCAAATGTTTGTGATATGATAAGATTCCCAGGATTGATAATTTAGTATCTAATTTAACTGTACCCCTTTGTATAATGTCTTAAAGGCCTACACAGTGCAGCAGCAAAGCATCATAAGAAACTGACAACATAAGAAGCAAAAACAGTGGAAGAAAAAAGCAGGCATTACCAGCAGCCCTGATTATGTTAGCCCATCAGGATAAAAGGATAAATTTGAATCTCTTACAGTGTTCTGGAATTGTTCCTACAAATACTCTGGGTTTTGGCCAAGCTAAGCCCAAAGAAAAATAATTTCTGAATTAAATTAAGTTATTAAAACCTGCCCCTAACTTCTCGAAGTTATGGCACAACACAATATAAATAAATCAGACCTCAGTATCCTGATGATGTACTACCACCAAGTTATCCACTACATTCAGTGCAAACTTCCCAGTTCTGTTCAGCTTTAAAATATGTGTCTTCTTACAGGAACCCTCTCTGTGGAAACAAAGAGAAATGAGAACTGGTCAACAAGCCTATATAAGATGTCTTTTTGTACTAGTTTTGCTGGAACTCCGTTTATTTTCTTCCTAGGAACTGGTAGAGTGCTGTATTTTTGATTTAGTATGAGAATAACACTGATAAGACCCTGATGTTTTAGTTGTTGCTCAACAGTGCTTACTCTAAGTCAAGGACTTCTTGGTTTCCCATGCTCTGCCAGCAAGCAGGTGTGCAAGAAGCTGGGAGGGAGCAGGGCCAGGACAGCAGACCTGAACTGGCCAAAGGGATATTCCATATCCTAGGACATCATGCTTGGTATATAAAGTGGGGGAAGTTGGCCAGGAGGCACAGATCAGTGCTTGGGACAGGCTGGGTGGTAATTGCTACTGTGTCACTTGCTTTTCATGGGTTTTATTCCCTCCGCCGTGTGCTTTTTATTCCTACTACTATTACTTTTTACCTTATTTCACTTATTAAACTGGTTTTATCTCAACCTATGAGTTTTACCTTTTTCTGGTTTTCCTGCCCCTCCCAGCAGGGGTTTGGGGGAGCAGCTGATGGTACTTAGTTGCCACTTGGGGTTAAACCACAACACTGACACAGATGTGAACTGCCACTAACGTTCTTCATTCTGCTCTTACCTGGGTAAGTGATAGAGCACTACTTCTGCTCCTGTACTGTTGGAAGTCCTTGAGTGATGCCTCAAATACAGAATGTAAAGCTGCCCATATCTAACAAGACAACAGGATTAAAGCATTATTTTCAATTAAGAGCTCTACCAGTCTCTTAGGTAATCTCATCCCTTCTTCTGGGATAAAACGTTTGACTCTAAGTCAGGTAATAATTTAATTAAAAGTGAAAGATTAACACTACTTGCATAAGTATAGGCCATGCATTGTGATTTATCAAGTTTGGCATCTGTGAATGATTCCTCTACCAAAATATCAACTAAGAAATGAAACATTCCCCAAACTTCTGTGGTAATCCAGAACAATGTCATGTAAGACTGCTCCATTTGCTTCCCCTCCCCACCCTGCCCCAAGAGGGTTGTTTAAATGCTTTGTTCAAGGCAGTAACTGAGGTGCTTTAAAGCAACAGCACTGCTAAAACAAGAAACAAGTGCAACCACTGTAATGTCCTTCCCTTCTTCCAGCATTTCCAATCCACCCCACCTTCCCAAGAAAGACCTGACTCGTGAGATACATACATTGTAGCCATAGCAATATCTCTTTCAGAAAGGCTGAGCTTGGATGACTTGGGCGCTGCAGGCAACTCAATTTCAAATTTTGATAGTTTTGACATGGTCCCGCTCTGTTAAACGGCAAAACAAGAACTGTCACGACCGGAACCAGAAAGAGATGAGCCGCCTTTGCCCACAAGCTGCATCACCAGCGCCCCCACGAGGCAAAGGGCGGTCATAGTCTAAATGAAAGGGGTTTGTGCTTGTTTTCCTAAAAAAAAAACCCAACTGATTCTTAACACACACTTCTGTAACTGCAGAAGCTTTATCGTCTTGATTTTATTACTTCAAAAATACTACAAAAATATTTCTATTTTAATTCAGTCAAGACAAATCTGTATGCAAATCCCAAGTACAACTGGTCTGGAGATCTCAAACAGCAGTTTTCCCTCTTCCAGAAAAGTATATGCTCCAACTCTTAAATAATTGCTTCCTGGGAAGGAGAAAATATCACTACCTCCTACCAGTCACAGTCTCCTTTAGTTCCTGTCTTCTGCTTAGAGCACATCCCTTCTCCTGCCCAAGGCTTCCGCTCTCCTCTTCCTCTTTTCTATGGAATTTATATTTAATCAAGTTCTCACAGTTTCCAAAGCTTCTACTGAAATTAACTTCCTATTCTTACTGATTCATTCTTGAGTGTGAAGTGTGAGTACTACAGAACTATTTCCTTTGCTAGATCTCTATTTTCAAGTATTACTTTAGTACAGGACCTTTCTCAGGAGATCTTTAAATACAACCTTCTGAACACAAGATAAAAATTATTTAGCTTCAACCTACAACTTGACACAAAATGTGAAGGAGGGGGAACCATAACTTAAGTTGTTAAAAAGAAAACTGTGAAAGGCTAGTAGGTTCCTCCCAGCCACCTAAAGGAACATAATTTCAGGATGCAGTACAGACCCTACACAAGATTAACACAAACCAGGAAACTCATGTGAATAAGATGCTTTTTAATCTCTTCCCTTAAACTGCCACAGAAATCTTCCTGATCCATTGACAGTAGCTCTTTTCCTAATTTTTAAAATCACCTGACTGCATCATTAACTAAAAACAGATTCTGATTTTCACAACACACTTTTTCCAAGACAAAAAGAAAAATATTTTCCCAGTAACAATAAGTGTTGTCCACATTGAAGAACACCAAAAGAAAAAAACTACTGTAGACAAAGTCCCCTTTGGCTTGGGACAACAGTTGTTTCTTAAGTGCTACCTTTTTTCTTTATCTTTTTCATCCAGTCATATCTGGGAGGTTATAATTATAATCACAAGAGAAAGGCCCTTATTTTTTCTTTATCATACTGCAGACAGCAAATGTTCATATTACAAGTAAATCATAAATACCTATTTAAGTGAAAAAATTCTTTAAAGACATTTAAGTTGTAAAATATTTAGTCACCACCAATTTTTTCTTTCCTTTCTCAAGATCAACTGTCCAGCCTTGTCTGGACACACATCTTTCCAAAGAGCATGTAAGAAAGAGTAATTTTAAGCCATCACTTAGGAGCTACCTTATAGATTTGCTTATTGTCATACAAGGATGTGAACACATGCACCTTTTGGAAGAAATTCAAGTAATAGAATATTTGGATGAAGAAGCAGTTTAGGAAAAAACGAAAATGACAAGTTTGGAACATATCCCTTTACCTTGAAATAGAATGGCTGCAGGACATTGCCAAGGACAGTGGTTGAAAGGAGGATAACAGAGCTCTCTGGACAATACATGTACCAATTGACATTAATACTCTGATTCTTCAGAAGCTTTAAACTTCGTTTCTCTGGCAATACCTGGAAACACAGAATATTAGCATTATATTACCACCAGGATTCCAACAGCTTAAATGGTAATTAATGCACAGGAGCAAGGAATGTTAAGCAAGAAACAGGTAAGTGTAAAGATGTTTACTGTGCTAGAATTAAAAATCAGAAACCTGACAATTGCAGCTGAGGCCCCACTTTATTGTAGCTAAGGAAAGAATACACATCAAGTACTAATGAGCTTAAAGGTGCTGTGTTTTCCCACTCATCCAGATCGTAAGTTCTGTTCTGGGTATAAGTGGAGAAAACACCTTGCTTGATACAACTAGTGAAGTCTTATTAAAAAGATCTCCTTACAATATTCTTTCTGCCTTCACTCCCCAGCCTCCTTAATCTTTTATATTTTGACAAGTATATAAATCAATTTTCTTCATTTCAAGGGCTTAAATATCCTCTCTTTAAAAAGACACTTATTTCATTTAGTCCTTTTACCTGCAGGGTTGACATTCATAATCCTTTCAGGTGCTAAATATATATACTCAATCAGCATGAAATAATGCTGCATTTTCAGTTACTTTCTTTAGTACTAGTTATTAGTAACAGTAATTAAGAGAAACATTGTGTCTTAGCTCCAGGACTGAAACTAGTGGGAAGTGCACAACTTTTTTTTTTTAGGAAGTGTTTAAATATCCCTCATCATGAATGTTAGAAGGAGTTTTTTATTCATCAGACATCTTTAAAAATACATGCAAAGGAAATTACATGTTACATAAAGGAACTCAATGAGGTCAACACAGGAGAAAGCTGCAAGCTGCAGAAGAGTACTAGCTGGTCGATTATATAGTTCTTTGCCACTTTTTAAGCATTTACATATCTTACCCAATGCTGATTTGTTTTGTGTGAAGTGATATTTCACATTAGATTTAAATACTCATTTCCATACAAGCCAAGAGCATCTCTTAATCTAGAGTTCCCAAGGCTTAGTTAGTTGAGTGCTTCTTTATACAAGGTCTTAAAACCTGTAAATGATAAATTTGCCCTGCCCTAAAAATGTATTCTTCTTAAAAAAAAACTAAATTGTAGTCTGCAAACCAAATAGCAGAAATTGTTTTTTCAGCAGTACACTTTCTCAGTTACAGAGAAAAGAAAAGAATTCAAATATGCTGTTACAAATTTACATTTTCACATCTCTAAGCATGTCCTATGGGAGTTATTTGTATTACCTGGTAGAATTCAATTCCTTGATCTGTGATGAAGACAATTTCTGTAGAACTCGTCCAGCAGAATCCTAGAATATTGGCATTCTTTGTCTTTTAACAAACAAGCAAACAAACACTGTTTTACTTGGAAAAATTAACTATTCAGGTAAGCTAATATTTCTAAATGAAGAGCACAAGACCAAAGGCAATTTAGGTATCCAATCTCTGGAATTAATACTTTTGGCCAACCAGATACCCAGTATGCATCAGTTGCTTTTATGAAGCATTCCCAAACTACACATGAACACAATTACTGTATGACCCAGATTTTTGGCAGCATGTAATATTTGGAAGTTTATTATAAAATCAAATTTTATTTTCACCCTAGATAAAACTAAGTTCCTCTGCTTCAAATTCTACTGCCAATTCAACCAGTTCCTGACATGAAGAGCAGGAAGAGATGTTGAGAGAAACTAAAAACTAAATGGAAAAACTTGCCATGACTTCACTCAGAATCTACTCCTATTATGCTCAGAAGTTTCATCACCATAAAGGTTTTGCTAGAATGGTTTATTTAAACTCATAATTCTAAATAATGAAGCAGACAGTGTTTCAGCTTTAAAGACTACAGGGATAAAAGGATCTGTGTAAATCAGATGTATAGAAATTTACTTTAGTGTTCTATTACCCAAAAATTTGTTTTAGTTAAAAGTTGGAAAATATCAAGCAATTACAATGATACTTGTTTCTGGTAAATAATCATCTAAAATTAGAAAGATTATTTTAAAAATAGCAAACATAATATGAAAACTAGTAATAGCTTACTACTACTGATTAGTGACATTAGGAAAGAACATCCACATTAACATATCTGGCACAAATATAATCACTGTCCATTGTTTCTGTATCATCAGCACTTTGTCTCTTCTCCTTACCAAACTTTGTCATTTGCTGCCCTCACAGCATTTCTGATCCCTCTAGGAAACAATTACATTCACAAGACAGGAAGTTTTTTCTGGTATTGTTAATATCTGTTTGTTCACTCAATTTCAATAGACAGCAGTGCTTACATCTCTGATTTCCTTGATGTTAGTGTTTTGAAAGGTACCTCAGTTAGTTCTCTTGCAGCCACCAGCATAACTAAGATCAGAGTTTCACTTAAGCATATAACCCTGGGACATTTAACTCACCTTACATTCCTGTGTGTATTCTAGCTGAGGACTATCTGGAATAAAATTCAAAAAATCCTGCAAAAACACCCATTAAGTGGATTAACAATTACAAAGCACAGACGAGATACATACATAGATAGCAAAGAATAGATATTAGTTTATCAAATTGTCTTAGGTGCAATTTATATAGAGAAGAACAACTTCTGTTCCACCTCACCCTTGCCAGAGTTGGTTCCCCCTTACATTTTTTGTCTAAATGATGATACTAGCAAGACAACAACGCTGCCTGACCAGCCTCTCGGGACGATGGAAGAATTTTCACTACAGCTGTTGTTAGCCAACAGACTTATTGAACATTTTGTCTCAAAGAATTTTACTCTGGAAGTAGAGGATTTCCAGCTCCAATTCCCTAGCTGCAGGGCGCAGGGTTCTTACCACACTTTTCAAAGTTCTCTGCACAGCCAGGATCTTGTTCCCCAAGGAAAATTTGATGCACTTCACTTCTCCTTTGTCCTCCATCCTATACAGAAAGAAACAGAAGTTATGGAAATATAATCTAAAATAGTTTCTTAAAGAATATACCCTAAAAACAGACAATGACAGAGATAAAAAAGTGTAATGCAAATGCTCGTGAATACAGAGTATTACTCTTCCTGACTAATATATTCAAGACCCAGACTGACAGAAAATGGCAGCTCAATCTTCAGAAGTCCTGAACACATCAATTGCAGAATCATGGCTAAGCTCACACAAATCAGCACCTGAAATCACTGCAAATATACAGCTCTGTTGGCCTGTGATGTGGAACTGGAAGACTTGTGGGACTCTCCAAACCTGCATCCTCAGTGCTGTGACACTAGCATCCTGCAATCTGCTGTTACTTATAGAACTACTGCTAGTTGACACAAGCCTCCTTGCTTTCCCACTAGGACACAGCCACTGGAAGAACTTCTCATGTAGAAAGGAGAGTGAGGCTGTTTTCACACCACTAAAATAAATTTTAAAAGTATTTCTACCAAACAAGCATCAGCATGAGTAAGGTATATAGTTCCTCTGGCATGTTATTAAGTCCAAAGAGAGAGACAGTCAAGTATGAAAATGGTGGAACATTATGATGTCTACTAAGTATTTTCAGCTCCTTCAGGACTGACAAGTGTAATCAAATAAAAAAGTAAAATAAACTCAGCAACTTTCAGGACAGGCCCTGTGCAATATCCGAGAGATCACAGTAAATACATCTCGATTACAAATTGCTTCATCCATATTTGGATTGATATGGAATAAAGGAATACTTCCTTACACATGCACAGCAGAGTACAAAGAGGCATCACTCTTAACAGAGACATACATAAAATAGTTTACTGTTGTCAAATTCTGCAGAACTGCTTTCACAAGAAATGGAAGGCACAGAAGAAGCCAATTCAGATAAAACGAGGAACAGAACATGAGAAACCTACATCTAGGTTTGGACATTGTGCTTGAATCACAGACATCACTTGCTAAACTGTATCCTTGGATATGTCATTGCTGCTGTAGGAATCACTCTCTCACATGTATAGCATGTGAGCATAATAAAAGACTGTTGTTTAAAATAAAGAAGTCACAGCCTAATTACTTTTTCCCCCCCAGAGACCACAGGGAGGGAAAAGCATACCCTCTTAATCGCAAGATTATATCTAGGAACAAGCTAAAATATGATCACAATTACTTGTCAGTTTTATGCCTGAATTACAGTGGATCAGGACCAACCACCACACAATTTGAAGATTGCATCATTGCACTTTATCTTGCACCAAGATAAAGGTGTCTTACCTGAAAGAAATAGGATTTCTATCCTCCAAACCTTTAACAACAACTCCTGTAGCTCCCCCAGATCGAACAGCAAAAACCTACAAGAAAAGTTTTGAACATATATTTAACTCTTTCAAAGTCTCTTTCAAAGTAATTTTTTTTACTACACACAATTTTTTTTCTTCTGCAGATCTGACAATTCACACTGAGACAATCTGGAATTCCAAGTTTACTTTGAGTTGTCAGATTACATGGTACTGCAACAGTCTTGCAGGCATATTCTGAACTACTGGGCAAGTTAAATCAGTAAAAATCTTCAGAAACCTTTATCTTGGCTTTGTTTCTTTTATATTTTCCTAAGTCATGTACCAGTAAAAGTATGTAAGACATCAGAGCATTGTTTAAAACAAAAAGGACCTAAGATTGGGGACTGAGAAGAGATGTAACTCAATGCCTGATCCTATCAAAACATGTTATTAAATAGAATAGATTAATATTAGTAGATTTTCATAGAGATTTTCAATAGATTTTACCTAAGGAGTTTCAGCCAACATGCCCTAGCAAGTGAGAATTCCTTTAGCCCAGCTTCACGTATAAGTGTGCAAAACCTGCTAGAGATATGACACGTATTGAGCTGGAATAAGATTTAAAAAAAAAAAAAAAAAAAAAAAGAAGGAAAAAAAAAAAAGAAGAGTCATGCTCTTACAAACTTTACCTAGCTTGGAAAAAGAAAGTCAGGGAAATGCGTTATTGGCACACGGATCAGGGCTCAAGGTGACAGGGACATTTTTCTGTAATATCAGGCATGCTGCCAGTCTGCTATGCCCAGGGAAGAAATATAACGTATCGAGATTATAAATTGCAAGCAAGTCCACAGTCTTACTAGAATGATAAATACTTAGTTTAACTACTTTTAGTATTATGGAGATAGAAAAAGAAGGCAACACTCTCTTCATCTCTGCAAGATGAGAAGACTGCAGGGACACATCTCTCACATGGGAAACTGTCATTGAAATGCTGGTTACAAGCAATTCAGAGACACACTGGAATTCCAACTATTTTAGATAACAAGAAAACACAGAGAAATAAATTTACACTGGAAAATATGAATCTTTCAAATGAGCTCTCAACAACCAGTTTCTATGTAGTTATATCACATCCACACTATGATACAGTATCACCTGATAGGGTATTTCAAGTGGTCCTCAAAGATAATGGCTTATAAGAAGAAATATCTGGAAAGTGGCCCAGTGGAAAAGGACCTGGAGATGCTGGATGACAGCAGCTGAACAAGAGCCAGCGTGTGCCCAGGCCAAGAAACCAACGGCATTCTGGCCTGGATCATCAATAGTGTGGCCAGCAGGACCAGGGCAGTGACTGTCCCTCTCTGCTCTGCAATGGTGAGGCCACACCTCAAGTGCTGTGTCCAGTTCCAGCCCCCTCAATTCAGGAAGGACATTGAGGTGCTGGAGCATGTCCAGAGAAGGGCAACAGAGCTGGGGAAAGGTCTGGAGCACCAGTCCTATAAGGAGTAGCTGTGGGAGCTGGGTTTGTTTAGCCAGGGGAAAAGGAGGCTCAGGGATGACTTTATTGCTCCCTACAACTCCCTGAAAAAGGCTGCAGCTGGGTGGGGGCTGGCCTCTTCTCCTGGCAACCAGCGACAGAAGCAGACGACATCACCTTAAGCTGTACTGGGGAAGGATTAGGTTGGACATTAGGAAGAATTTCTTCCCTGAAAGGTTGATTAGACACAGGAATATTCTGCCCAGGGAGGTGGTGGAGTTACCACGGCTGGAGCTGTTTAAGGAAACACTGGATGTGGCACTCAGTGCCATGGTCTAGTTGACAAGACAGTGTTCAGTGAAAGGTTGGACTCGATGATCTCAGAGGCCTTTTCCAACCTAAATGATTCTGTAATCATTCTGAACAGAGTGCAACAGCAAGAAACACACCCCAGAAATATTGCTCCCTCTCCAAACACACCACTGATCATGTCCACACATGGGGCAACGCCTGCCAGCTACGTGGGGAAGAAAGCTCGAAGGTTCTGACTCCATGAATGCCGACGTCAAAGAACAGTCACAGGAATTAGACAGGAATGTATCCACATCTGTATAAGCCTCACAACAGCCTATGGATCTTTTAGCTGTACTGAGCTGAGCTCTCAGGAGCCCACATGGATATTATGGAGAGCCTGCTTAAAAGCACTAAAGCCAAGAAACAGCCACTTGGGTCTATGCCACAAGGAAAGCAGTAATTATTCATTTTTTATGAATATATTGAATTTCAGGAATTGAAAGGGGTGTGAAAAATTCAGGGAAATTAAGCTAAGAGCAAAGTGACAAAGTTTGCAAGTCAGGCGGGGACACTTGGAACAGAAAGGAAAAGTGCTGACTCCGATGAATTCCAGAAAGACCTTACGGCAGTGAGAGTAAGGCAGGTGAAATCCAACCTAATAAATCGGCAAAGGAAAAAAAAAATAAATACAAATTCTACCGCCTCTAGCACGATGACAGGTCCTGAAGGGAAACAACCGGGCTCATGCCTGCGGCCGAGGGACGGCAGGGAAGCAAAGCCGGGCAGGGAAGCGGAGCCAAGCGGGCGAGCAGCAGCGGGCCGGGCTGGGCCCACAGGCCCGGGCCCGCAGCCGCGGCCGGGCGGGAGGGCCCCGCCGCCCCCACCTGCTTGTTGGCCTCGTCGAAGAACACGCAGTTCACGGGGTTCGCCTTCTCGAAGTGCACGGGCCGCGCGCACAGCGCCAGGTAGCAGCCGCCGGCCTCCGCGCCGCCCCGCGCTCGCCCCTCGCCCTCTTCTCCTCCTCCTCCTCCTTCTCTTCCTGCGGCCGCAGCCGCTCCCGGTGCCTCGTCCTCGGCCGGCCCCGGCGGGTCGCGGCCCGTGGCGGCGGCCATTGCCGACCCCCGCTCTCGGGCCGCCGCTTCCTGTTTACACTCCCCTCGCGCGTGACGCGGGACGCTCCCGCCTTAAAGGCGCAGCGGCCGGGAGAGGGGTCAGGATCGGGGACAGGAGCGCCGCCGGGAGAGACCGGGAGTAGCGATGCGTCCGGCAGTTCTGAACGCCAATGTATGAGAGGTGTCAGTGAACCTAACAAACGGAAACAGCAAGTGGGAAGCTGCAAAATTTGCCTCAGGAAAGGCGTGAGTGCTGGCAAGGTGGTAGAAAAGAAAGACGTGGAATGAGCATAGCGTTACAGTGCGGGAACGCGTGGCAAAGATTTAGGAGGGCACGTGTTAGAGGAGGGAAATAAGGGAATTAAGGTGCCAGGGTAAGCTCTGACTCCAACCGGTGTCACTTATCAGGGCATTGCTCTAGCTGTATCCTAGGATTTATTCTACTTTTAAAAGCAAAGCTGGTGGAATTTAAAATGTTAGGCAAGCAAAACCACTGTCTTAACCAAGGCCACAGCAGCAGACTGGGGCTTTTGGCCCAGTCTTTTATAACGATTTTAAAACCAACAAACCTAAAACAAACCCAAAACTTTTATGTGCAGAAAAAAAAAAAAAAAAAAAAAAAAAGAAAAAGAAACAGCTGCTTCTGAGATCTGCCTTTATTTGTCCACAATTACTGCATCATCACTGTCACTACTGATCCTGCCCCTTGGCGGGAAACTGCTTTTTAGTGTTGCAGAACAGTTCAGGAAAAATATTAGTAAAGCATTATTGAAGTCAAAGTCTGGCTTGGTCCTCAGTATTTATGCTGAGTATATATTTTAGTTTGGACAACAAAACAGTGATGGGATTTTTTTTGTTGTTGTTGATGCACTGGTTAATGCCTTAGCTCACTAGCTGTAAGCCCTACATTATGATCTAGAAATTGTGTGAGAATATCAATTATGTATTTGCTTATTGGTTTAGAACGGAAAATTTAAAAAGGGGGGGGGGGAGAAGACTAAGATCATAACAATTTTAAAAATCTCAGATTAAGACAGTAGCACAGTTTAGTATGGGAGAAATAGAAATTTAAGTACCAGATACCAACACAGTATCATGCAAACAACTGTTGGATGACTTGTGACCCAGTTAGTCCACCTGCACTAATTTCACATCAGATACTAAAGAGATTTCACATAAAGACACTAAAGTCACAACTGTGAATTACAGTAAGCTGTTTGTTCTGCAGAACCCTCCTGCATCATCAAACAATTCTGTTAATTGGAGATGACAAGTATATCCAAAGCATTTGAAGTACCTTAAAGTTTATAATTTTTTACAAAGTAACAAAATTTATTGCATGTTAGCCAGAAGTTTAGTTAATCCAGGGTGAAAATTTACGAAACTCTACTGACATTTACCCTTTCTTACTTCTCTAAAAACCAGCATGGACATCCTACAATTGCAATAGAAACTGAGGTGTCTTTGAGGGGAAATCAGCAGAGTAAATAACACACACAATGTCTGATAGTAGTAAACCTTAATGGCTAATTTCAAAGCTAAGATTCTATATTTGCCCAATAATAATCCTGGAACTTTTTATTTCAAAGGAGTCCAAGAAAATGCTTTTTTTAGCAAATTCTTGTTTTCAACTACTTGGAAACACGCCCAGGTGTCTTAAAATCTCAAATCAAATTCCTAAGCCAATTTTACTGCTGGAAGTGAAAATATATTAATATATATTATATAGTGTATAATACATAGTATATAATATATTTGGGTCCAGTAGTTTTAATTAGATTAAGAAAAATTGCTTCATTTATTTGGGGTGTTTGGTTTTCTTAAGCCTGTGCTAGACAGATTTTAGCAAGAAATTAAAAATGACAGTAACAACGGAGGCTTTGGCCCAAGCACAGAGATACAAGCAGGGGCCTGTTTCAAATAATAGCTCAAAAAACACTCTCCCCCTCACTTCCTGTTATTTCTGCCTTCTTCCTCCCTCTTGATGCAAATAGCTGTAGCAATCAAAAACTTCCTTGTACAAGAACATTTTAAGGCATTGGCAACTGTTCAGAGATTTTTTTTCCCCTAAGAAATGTTAAGAATATTAAAACTAGCTATAAACCAAGAATAGGACTATCTTTTTTTTTTTTTTTTAAGGCCTTCTCCTCTGAAGGAGATTTGGGTATCTTTGACAACAGCAGCTTGTAGTCTTCCTAAAGAGGTTAGCACTTCCCTTGCAGTACCTAGTCTGTCCTTTCCCTGATACTATTATTTTGGGAAACTGTTTCACTGAGAAATTCAGAACAGACTTAAGTATCTAAAAGACACAAGCTCCTTTATTTCAAAAGCAAGGGGTAAATGCAAGATACTTAGCTGATTTAGAAAAAGGAAGAGGATCCAAGTGTTGGGATGAAACTGGCAAAACCAAGGTTGTTTACTGTTCATGTAGTACCCACCCAAACAGTCATTTTTATATTATAGTAAGGAATTTGTGTGGTCCTACCCTAAGACTGCTCTAGTGAAGCACCAAGGATCAATGAAGGCCTCCGTGATGCAAAGAACCATACAAAAATACCACCACAAGATCTTAAATTTTTACTTCACCACCAGTTTTCCAACAAAAAAAGATTAAAAAGTCACTTTCACAGCACACTGTGAGGTCACATGTAGCATCACTATATTCTGCTTGATAAAGAGCAGCATCAGAAACTAGAAACCAGAAATCAGTTAAAAAGAAGTTGATTAGAATTCCTTAATTCCAAACTATCCCACCACATCAGTTCATCTTTAAATGTGTTTTCTGGAGAGAAACATCAGCAGATTTTTACAAGTTGTTGGAAAAAAAAAAGCCTGACATTAAGAATAAATAAACTGTGGAAACAGTATCAGTCATCATTATTTCTAAACAAAGCTTTTTTTTTTGCTTACAGGTGCAAAAAGAATACTCAGATTTGTCTGTGATTATCTTTAGGGTAAGAACATTTGATGCTCCAAAATTATATTCTAGGTAGACACAGGATTATTATAGTTTTGGCTTGCACAAAGTTCTTGGAACCATTTGTGTATTAAGAGTGAAGCTACCTGAACTGACTCTTTATTATACATCACTGACTCAGGATTTCCTGGCACATCACCAAGGAAGTCCTCTGCTGGTTGGATTTCAAAGATCTTTCCCATGTAATACCCAACAGTATTTACAGAGATAATTAGAGCCACATTCCCTGTGCTTCAAATTAAAAAGTCCAGACTTTTGCATTTATAAATATATTACTTTGCTAAATTAACATTTTAATATGATTGCAGTGCATAGTTTGCCTTCTCATTTTGCCCTTGGTGGAGATGGATGAAAGACTTTGTGTCCATAAACAATGTTTCATGAGTTTTCCAAGTTGCACTTGGAATAAAAAGAGAGGGACTCTTCTAGTGTGCTTTCCCACTAGATACTTCGGACAATATAGACGATTTTTAAATTTTTTTGTAGACTAAAAGATATGTAAGCTCTGAATCATGCAAAATACGACCATTTGAGCTACATTAGTCTAATGTAACTGGGGAATTGGTGAAGTTGTCAGTCTGTTCAAAGTGGTAGTGACAGTCCATTCTCACAGTGCCAGCCTGATGTGTGGGACAAGTTAAAAAAAAAAGCAAACCACTGAGGCATCACCATATGCTTGCTGTGTTTTCCATTTTGGTATTCCCAGCCAACCACTCTCTTGACATTGGCAGTTGACATTTACCACTGCACCAACGTAGTTAGAAGCAGTAAATTTGTGTTTTGTTTTGACAGCAGCTACAAACTCAGTGCTATTCATCATATATAGGTGGGTCTCCATCACTGGAAAACGTTGACAGTTTCTTTCCATGATTCTGCACGTGATCTTCATTCATTTTCTCCAAAGCTTCAATCTAGAGAGCCAAAAATAAAACCATGCTGAAATCATAAAACCATGCCAGCAGCAGAAGGCTTCTAAACAGCATTAAAAAGCAGCTTTTGAGGCCAGAGCAGGTATGTACAGTTGCTATTTCAGAGATTCAGTCACACGTAACAGCTCAAATACAGCCAGGTACACCTTCAAACATCTGTTCTTAATAAGTTACTAAAATGAACGGCACTCCTTTACAGTTTGAAGCTATGTAACCAAAATGAACCAGTTTCAGGGAGGACTGGATGATTTCTTAAGACTTCAGCTGTGTTCCTCAAAGGACAGAAGTGTGCCCTCCTCCAATGACACAGAGATCACGGAACTGTGTTCCCTTTATCTCTTTCTTACTTTGACCACCTGCCCCAGGAGTCACCTAATTACCAACTCCCACCTACTCCATGCTGGACTAGCACAAACCTACAATGTCATTAATAATTAGGGAGAGTAGAATTGCTACATTGCCCTTACTTTAAATACAAAATATGTAACATTTGATAACTTGGTTTTTTTGGTTTTTTTTAAATCTGATATCAGGATGCAGGCCTTGAGGAGTTGTAGCCAAAGGTTGAAAACTAAAAGCCAACAGTCACCAAAGATTCCTAAGTCCATATTTACATTAGCATGATTTTAAGCTTCAAAATTAAAAATGCTAGCCTAAACTTTAAACTCAAATAAATTAACATTTAAACCATGAAAAATAAGCAGTAAAATAATTATTATTTTTAACCCAACTTTCCTTTTGTTGTACAACCTTTAATGTATGTAAGACAAGACAACAGCTTTTAAACTAAAACAGATCACTACATTTGCCTTAATGCTGAAATGAAGCAATTATATTCAACATGAAGTCTTTTCTGCTTGGGAGCAGGGAGATCAGGAAAGGGGGTGTAGAGGTCTGTCAATCTGAGTTTCTGTAAACGTTTGTACTAGGTTGAAACATTCAAAGTTTTAAAAAGAGATGCAGAATGACTGCTGAAATTTTACTCATACCAATCACACAATTAATCTGGAAAATTAAGGTATTATAATAGCTACCATAGCTAACCAAATTTAAATTGTTAGACAGAGAAAGCTATACCTCTGCTTGGAAGTCTACTTCATTGTCAGCTGTAATATTCAAACCTGAGACAGCATTGAAGAGTTCGCGCTCATTAAGTGCTTCTGCCACGCCTCCTTTCTGGAAGAACTAATCAATATAAAGAGCACACATTAAACACTTTACTGCACAGAACAAAATATTCCTTTGACTTTCTCCAGTTACTACATTTACCCAAAATTATATTTTTGTTTTTGTTGACCCACAGATAAAAAGTTTTATGAAAGAAGTTTTAAGTTCTAGCTGGTATAATTTTACTTTTCCACATTTTTTTCACTTTCAGAGAAGGACACTATCAGCTTGGAAAACGTGCAAGAGTAATGTTCTACACATCTAAGATAGCTTGTATCTTAGAAAACATGCAGCATAATAGAAGATTGTCAGACAAAGAGGTCCTACCTGTGAAACATTCCTACAGTCTCTGAACAAAAACTCAAGTCCATGAGGATGGGTTGGCTCCACAGACTGACTGACATCAATGAGCCAGACCTGCAGTCACAGAGAAATAGCAATTCGCTTTGTATTAGTATTTCACAGTAGATACAACTTTTCTCCCCCAAATTAAGAACAAACTCACCTTCCCATCATGCCAAAGCATGTTGTATTCACTCAGATCTGCATGGACCAGGTTGCACTCCCTATACAACTGCTGCATCATCTGCAAGGAACCAAATGAATGAAGGAAATATGCTATACTCCAAATGAATATTGCTAGCATGACTTAAAAAAAAAAAAAGCCAGACCAACCCCACCTTTTCCTAATCACCCAGATAATTTACATAATTTTTACCCAAATCTTCAATACACTTTCATCCAGGGAATTGCAGTTTTGGCAAACTGCCAGCAAACTAAGCTTTTATCACTGAGCTTAGCTTTGGCAAAGTCAGAAGAGCTACTCTGGTAAACTGAAGTCAGCTCTGCCAAGCAGTCCAAGTGCAGGAGACAGATAAGCACATTCTCTAAATACCTGTCATTTTCACTCCTATCACATGGGAAGGAAGCCTCACAGTTGTAGAGGCTGAGTCCTAAGCAGTGCACAAATTCACTTAAGACACTTAAGAGCTGTGTTGCTCACTGGTCTCATTCATTTGAGACCTAGACCACTCCTGTTACCAAGCTGTGGGGCTGGTTGCCTGGTTGGGTTTTTTTAATATCTATAACATAATAATGAGTAGACAGTTAGCAGCTGGTGTGTTTGAACCAAGCAGATAATAAGAAATTAAAGCATCCACCATGCAATATTCTAATTAATTCTCCAGTTTCTAGGTTTGCTGAAAAGGGGGCGGGCGATCCACTGGAGAGTGCTTAAGTATTGTAAATTAAGTGTTTGCTAAGCCCAGAAAGACTTCAGAGAATTTTCTAAACCACATACTGCTTCTGTAAAAGGAGAACTACTTGCTCACAATTCCTCTGCTGCTAAGCATCTGTTTGTCATCAAATTCCAGTATGTTTTCCACTCAGATTAAGATGAAATTTAATTGTATTTTTTTTCAGTGCATAGTTTCTCACTGATTCTAAGTCACACATTAAACAGCAGCAAAATAAGACTTTGGACTTCGTATCTTGACAATTATGTAAGCATCCTGAAAAGTAAATATGTGCTCATTTGTCCTTACAGTTATTCCCTTAAATGAAAATACAACCCAGAATTGGAGGAGAAATCAGCATCATCTTACATTAAGAATCTGATAGTAGGCCTTTTTCATATCTTCACTACTAAGTGTTACATCTTTTAGTTTAGGAGCTGGGACTTGATCCTGGCCAATGAAAGACATAACCAAGACGTGTTTCTTAAGGATAACCACTTGAGGACAAGGAATTCCTGCATTTTGCATTCTGTGGATCAGAAAATAGATACTGATTAAGAAAAACAGAACAAAAGATTCAAAGTCCCCAAAGTTCTAGTTCCTGCTATCTCATTTGCAATCTGAGAGCTGTGTGAAAAACCTGATCCAGAGTAAACAAAGTCTTTGAAATAATTAAAAACTGAATAATTATACATATTGCACAGTATTTTACACAGGAAAATTCAAATTCTCAAGTTATAAGTTAACCTAAAAATGCTCTAAGTACTAATGACTTTTACAACGAGAACCTCTTAACTTCATGAGCCTGTAAATTCTGCTGCAAAATCACTGAAGATGCTGACACAGCTTATTAAACTGTAAAAAAAAGCCAGGGGCTTATTCAATCTGTGCCAGGTTGTATATTATTTTGGCCTAAAAGTTAAATACCCAGACATAGAGTACCTTCCTTAAACAGAGAACAGGAAACTGACAGGCATTTGGCAACTACACTTTCTTTTTCTTTCTTTACCTTGTTAAGTTATGCATTTCTTTCTCAGCCCACATACGAATAATTTTTCGTGGATTCAATTTACTGAAGCGGTCTTTAAACCTGTAGTCATCCTTAATGTATTTGTCACGGTTCTTGAATTCATTAAGAGTTGTTTTAAACACTTTGATGGCACATTCTGGAGGAATAACTTTATCTTCAGTTGCACTGCACATGGAAAAAGACAAATATATAACAAAGTTAACTATTCCCATATTTACAAGCAAATGCACGAGTTTGGGTTTTTATACATTACAACATACAGCAATTTTTAATACAAGAGAGGATCTAATTTTCTATCATATTTAGAAGCAAACTTAAGTTTATAACAATTCTATGATTAAACTTACCTATGAATATTTGGGTTTTGGCATTCTGATTCCAAGTTGCTTATCAGATAGGTTACCTCTCCTGATTTGTTAAGTCACATCTTTTCTCCCCAATTCCAACTTTCCCTCTTGACATCTCTAAATACATTATCTGTATTTGAGTTTTATTAGTACTTTCTCAAACATCACTGGTTCAAAGTCAGTTAAACACAATGCAATTGCCATAATGCACTCTAATCCTTCCAGTATGGCAGGAAGGATTGAAGAAGTGAGCAGCATCCCAACACTATTCTCATCCTGAAAGCAACAAACAGCACCTCCACTGAGCTGCAAATATAGAGCTGGCAATAGACAATCTCTGTATGGAAAGACACCCTTCAGGTAGCCCAAGATCCTCATAACAGCTCTGTGGTTTGGGGCAGGTCAGTGGAAAGAGTATCTCAAAAATCTCAAGATTTCTTTTATAAAAAAGGAGCATGTATTTTTCCACATAAAAAAGAAAGGCAGGGTGGATTTGTCCCCATTCATTAGCAGCCGCCAAGGAGGAAAGGAAAGTGGGGATTTCTTTACTTTATGATTGGTATCATTTGGTTTTCAGATTTTATTATCTCCATATAAATGAATACAACCTTTAAGTCTCAGAAATAAAAAAGGTGCAGATGTTTAAATATTTTTGTGTTTTCTGCTTTTTAAATCATCTCTTGTACTTAAAGCTATCATCAGTAACAAACAATATACTCACTTTCCTCCATAGGCATGAAAAACAACAGATTCTTTTCCCGTGCTGATGCAGCCTGTGATGGTCTCCAGCATCCCAGAATTGACCATCTTGTACAGAAGTAAACGTGTTTTAGGATCCACTGCTTTCTCCTACAAGAGATGAATAAGATTAATAGGCAAGACATGAATACTCAATTCAATAAAGCAATTCTTTGCTTTACCATGAGTTCAGAATATTTATATACCACAAGAACTCAACTAAGTGGAAAGAATAATATATTAATAAAATTTCTCTCAACTGACAGAAGGGAGAAAAAAAAGCCAAACCAAAATAATCATCTGAAGCAAACAAAATCTGCTTCAGGACTGATTTAATGATTTAATATTCTTAGTTTCCCATCAGCTGTGCAGCACATAGAATATTTTACTAATTGCACATATAGACTGTGGCTCAACAGCACTTTCTACAGTGTTTTCAAGAATCCTTTATAAATCATTAATCACAATATCCCAAGTACTATATTTCTGAACAACAAAGCAAAGCAAAACACAAAAACTTAAAGAAGTCCACATCAGGAATTCCCAGAGGCCCTACTTCAAACTCACCCATACAGTCTACCAAGTAAACTCCTAAATTATTAGGTCAGTTGGTCACCTCATGCTCCTGAAACTTGTTATGAAGACAAATATTTGGAGCCATATGGTTCAACAGCAGAGGATTAGTCCTCTGGATGTTTCTATAAATAACTTCCAGACAGCATCGTATTTGATTAAGAGGCAAGTTTAGAAAGACAAAGAGAAAAAAAAACAGTAGCTGCTTGCTCTTTCTTCAACATGGTTCTCACAGTAATGCAGCTCAAACAAAGAGCCTTTTTCTAGTAGGAGCTGGCTGATACCATTTCCTTCAGCAACGTTAGCATAATGTTGCTTAGCTGTTTTACTAAAAATGGAATGTTGCAAGAAGTTGCCCAGCAGAGTTTAGCTATTACACAAGATAAGGAGTAGATAGAGAGACTTTATTAAAAACATACAGCAGTGGAGTGCTCCTTCTTCTCATGGAGCCTTGCACTTCGACGTTCCTCAGAGTATGCATGCTGTTTTAAGGCATTGAAGACTTGATTTGATAGCTTTAAGTCCATCCCAATTCCATCCCCAACTTGGAATTCAGGTGCAAACTATAAGCAGAAATAATAGGAATTTAAGCATTGTCACTAGCAGATGCCAAAAGTTGGCACAAAATTTCTCATCCTGATTTGGAAAACCTCATGATAGATTTGGACCTATGTGAAATCCACTTTTTTAACATAATGACAACATTGCACAAACACATTGCTTTAAACTCAGAACTCAAAGTTCTGCCCAAATTGATATGAGATTACCCAACATCCTGCAAAAATAGCACTTGCAGCATCTCCTTATTTACAGAAGCTGCACCAGTTACCTTAAAAACAATGAAAGGTATGTACTAAAGATAAACAGACTGAAAAGCTGTAAGTCAAACAATTGACTGAAAATAAGTTACTTGGCTTATCAGACAACATTAATTAGAAGAAAGATTACACAACATCTATCCTTTTCAAAAATAGCTTTCGTGTTTTATTTGCTTGTGTGCCAGACTTGCTGATAGTTTTGTTTACCCAAAACAGTTTTGTGCAAATTCTTGAATTGCTCAATAACAAACTACTTTTAAACAGAAAACCCACAAAACTCAAACTGCCAATGTGAATAATCAATAAAGCAAAGACTGCATTGCTTTCATCCAACAGGGAAAAAATAAAAGTCAGCACCCTACCCAGCAGCACTGGTGGACAAGCATTAGTTCTTTGGCTGAACTGCAGCATTCCAGTTTTACACACAAAATAAGCTTCCCTAAGTTTTCACTTACATTTTCCATGCGAGCAGTGTTTTTTCTTCCACACACCACTTCATCATGTTTCGTAGTAATGTCTTTTCCTTTTCCTATGAAACCCCTTCTTGGTGTAGTAGTAGGTTTATCTGCCAGCAGTGAGAAAAAGAAACCAAACTTTACATCTAAACAAACATAACCAATGCTCATAGAAGTCACACAATATCCACAAAACTAATCTAATTTTATTTATAAAACAGAATAAATTCCTTCAGTTGTATGATCTTAATACAGTCTTCTCCTATCCTAAGCATGACAGTTTCTTTGGCTATGTTACAACTTACTTCTCTGTCTTCTCTGGGGTGTCAGACACATTTCTGGCATGCTACAACAGGAGTATTCAATATCATGTGCAGATGATATGTAACCATATCATCCAAACGTAGATAACAGATGAGCACATCCCACAATACTTCCCATGTACACTGGTTATTTTACCAGATTCAGCCACTGAAGCCAATATACTGGCAGACAGAAGCCTGAAGTTACCCACCCAGCCTCCTGCTGACACCTCCAATTGAGGTGACCTGATTTTAAATGCAGCTGGTGTCTCTCCTTACATTAAAACAAGACCTAATTTAACTCTGTCATACTCTCAGGTCTATTGGCTGAAGAAATTGTATTGCCTAAAGCTGTCACATACCTGCTCTGTATGGATCATGACGGGTATCCTGCCAATCAACCTCATCCTCTGAGCTGTCACTGTCATAGGGATGCACCTTCCGATAATTTTCAAAGGATATGGAGACTTGAGAAACAAAACAAATAAGCATGTCTGTGATTATCAGGGATTTGCTACTTCTTCACAGCTCTGCCAATTTAAGATAAGTGCCAAGAATAGCTCCAAAGCAAAAATATTGCTTCTGATGAAGGTACCTTTGCTATCTCCATTGATCTTCTTCTCTTCACGCCGAAGCTGCGCATCGTATTCCCTGTCAAATTCCATCTGCAGCATCTGAGCTAGCATTAGATCACTAGAAGTGTCAATATTTTCTCCTGTAATAAATGGTCCTTCAGCAGCACTACATAAGATGAAAGCAGGAATTTTAAAAAAATTAAACACAGCAATCTAAGCAGAAACACTGCTTTACACCACTTTCCCACTCTATACAACAGACTTCATGCAGAGCTGACAGAAAGGAATGGATCTCAGCTGTCTGCCTCCTCTTCAAGCCAACACTAAATATTAATAGATCATGACTTCATTTCTCTTTGCCACTCATTTACGATGCAAATTTTACTTAAATATTTGCTTGTTTACCATTCAGCAAGAAGCATTAAGCTCTATTTTTAAGATGTCCTTCAGGAAAAAAAAAATGAAGGCATACAGGTGTATGCATGTGTATACCTATTTATATGTTTAAAACAACCCAAATAGTGTTGCTTTGTTCTGCTTCACAGAAAAGATAGCCAAAATTTGTACAATTTTGAAACTAGTAAGCTCTTGGCCTTTGTTTAGAGCTTTCAGGTAGTGGGAGGATACAGGTGATATACCTGATAGTTGTCAAAATAACATTGTACACTGTTGACAACAGTTCCTAAAAGGGTAGAAAAATCCCATTTCTGACATGTCTCTAAATATAGCTTACAGACTGCATTAACACCCCCAGAAAATGCAAAGAAAACATCAATAAGGAAGGATGAGCATCAGAGAAGAGAATCTAAGGAAGACTTTTAGCTGGGGAAGCCATCTTCACTGAGGAAGATCAGAGGAAGTAGAGTTAGGGGCAACAGGCAAATAATTTACTATATTGCTATGCACTGAGCACATTGTAAGAAAATGCACAAGAGAGAGAAGATGGCGTCACAACTACGGAGATTACTAATCCAGGACTTAAACTTACGCAACCACTTCGGGAAAAGCAGCATTTTCTTCTTCCAGCTGCAATTCTTTTGCCAGCTGTTCACTCATTACATCAGCAAGAGAACATGATATTGATGTTGTGCTTGGGGTTCCCCACGGACACTGTAAATAAACATTTTATTCAAGTCAGCAAGACTGGTGCAGTGGCAACACAATAATCAGGATAATTAGCTATTGCTGGCTCCAAAATAAGCTCATGTAATCTTGTAAGGGCTCTTCTACAGATAGCTGGGGAACCACTCAAAGAGTAGAAACTCAACAGGGAGAACGGGGGTTGAAAAATTGTTGACGGTCACTTACTAATGAAGGACAAAAAGTCAGTTTGTCAGTGTCGGTACCCTCTGAAGACAGGGGTAAAGCTTCCCCAGGAGGTTTTCATACAAGCAGACACACAAGCTATGTAAAACTTCTCTTGGAATAACCCAACAGCAGTGGCTTACGCACAGCTTCCTCCCCCGCTCCTAGAGCCCTGAAAGGTCAGCCATGGTAAAACATGCCACCTCAAAACCGCAGAGGGACACAACACCTCACTCGGGGAGGCGGGGGCTGGGGAACGACGAACCAAGCCAGCCGGAACTCGCTGCCTACCGCCGGGATAACCGAGCTCGCCCAGCTCCAACACCGTCGGAGGGAAGCAGCTCAGTTATCAGGCTGTCACAACAGCTCTCACCACCAAGGAGATAGCTGCCGCTAGCAACAAACCGCGCTGCCGAGTGACCGTGACGCTGGCGGTGCTGGCACCACCTCGCAGCGCCTTCTCCACGGCCTCGGTGCTTCTCCTCCTGCTCCTCCGGCTCCCCGGAGCCCGGACACGTCGGGCGCGGCCCCGCGGTGCCGGCACAGCGCTCACCTTGCTCTGCCAGGCGGGGCCCGGCCCGGCGTCGGGCGCGGCGGCAGCGACTCCCACCGAGTCCATCGGGCACGCAGGGGCGGGCGGCGGCAGCAGCGGGCTCTCTCCGCGGGGCAGCAACGCTCCGACTGCGAAACCTTCCGGGTCCTCCGCGGCTCTCCGCGGCCGTCAGGCGGCCCATTGGCCGAGGGTGACCCGCCTTTCCGGTGATGTCACCGGGGCGGCCGCGGCCTCGCCGGCGGCGTGCGGAGCCTGCCGGCGGAACCCCCGCCCGGCCGCCCCTGCCCGGGGCTGAGGGACAGCGCCGGGCTGGCGGTAACGCGAAAGGGAGAAATTTAATAGCCGAGGTTTGTTTTTTGTCTCGGGAAGTAACCAAGGGTACGGTGGGAAGAAAAAAAAACTCCAGCAAATCAAACAGTAAGCCAGCGGCAAAACAAACGGATGAAATGGAGTCCAGAGAAGCGCAGCGGAGCTGGTGGAGGGTCTGGAGCACAAGTTTGATGAAGAGCGGCTGGGGCTGTTTATCCTGGAGAAAAGGAGGCTCAGGGGCGGCCTTAGCGCTCTCTAGAACCATCTGAAAGGAGCGTGTAGCAGCTGGGGCCGGCCTCTTCTCCCCGGCAACAAGCAACAGGAGCAGAGAACACAGCCTCAAGCTGCGCCAGGGGAGGATTAGATTGGACATTAGGAAGAGTTTTTTCACAGAAAGGGTGGTTAGACCCTGGAATAGGCTGCCCAGGGTGGTGATGGAGTCACCATTCCTGGAGGTGTTTAAGGAAAGATGGGATGTGGCACTCGGCACACACGGAATAGACCACTTGGTGTTTGGTCATGATTGGACACAGTCTCAGAGGTCTTTTCCAACCTAATTGATTCTGTGAAATGAAATAGTTGGCATTTGTTTTTATTACAGGAAGTAACTGAGGGAACAGGAAAAAAATACAACAAATTAACCAAACCATAAGCAAACACATTAATTTTATCCCAGTCCTGTAAGTCACTGTAGATGTAAATTGAAATACTTTGTGTGTGACCTGCTGCCTTTTACATCTCAGTTTTATATGTAATGTTTATCTGGAACATAGTATTGTGACTAAAATGCCCTGTTTCCAGGACAGCAACAATGGGATAGTGTTTTGCTACGACACATTAGGTCTACTTGGGCATGTTTCCTTAAAGGAAGGAAGCAATGCCTAGAAATCTCTGGCTGGCTCGTCACATTCTGTTGAAGGTATCTGTCTGCAGTCAGACAAGTGTGCTGTCACAGTCACTGGTGATAATCTGAAAACCAGCCTAGGAAAGCTGGGTGGCTGCAAGGGCAGAAGTGGTAAGGGGTTCTGTGGCATCCCCCATCCTGCCTGGAGTAAGTTCCCTATTTTACATCTAGCAAAGCCCGTGCTGCCAGGCAGGCCCAGTAAAGGCCATTCATATCAATTCTCAACCATGCAAGAATCAGCTTCGTCGGCCAAAGTTCCTCTTTATTTGTCCTTAGCAACCTGCAGTGACGTAACACGATCTCCTCAGACACTGTTCCAGAGTTCATTACCCCAGAAAGTTCCCAGCTAAAACACAGACCATTTGGAAGAGGGTAGGGACTGAGGCTGTAACGCACAACCTGCAGGCATGACACAGTCTTGTGCCACGAAGGCATTTTAGGATCATGGAATCATTTAGGTTGTAAAACACCTTTAAGATCGTCAGGTTCAATGGTTACCACAGCACTGCCAAATGCTGGCGAGAATGGCTTTGTGTGGTGGTGCAGTACCAGCATGTTTCTTATCCTCTCTGCACTTAGCCCTGGTGAAAAGAGATTATTTCTTTTGCTTTGCAACTGCCTTTTGGGGTATGAAGATTACTGTCGTGGTCCCCTCTATCTTCTTTGTCTAAAATTAACAGTTTTATATATGAGCAGAATATCAAAGCAATGTCCTGCTGCCGGGGAAAAATCATTATTCTTGCACAGTTGCACAAGCACTGATTAAGAAAATGAGTTTTGGTAGGTTTTGATTCAGAAAGAACAGTAACTAAATATTCTTATGTCTTGTTATTAAGTTTTTAAGTTTTTTTAAGTTTTCAAAAATAATATTTTAGTGTCTTAAATATTTCCTGATTAGGCATTGATCCCATGACCTCTCATATGAATGGATAAAGCTTTGAACTGGATTGTGTTGAAAAGAAATGTTCTGTGAAATGATGTGTAAACAAAATAATTTGTGGCACATTCATACCTCCCAATAAAAATAGTTAAAAATCTAGATAGAGCAGGAACTTCCCTTCATATTATCAAAATAATTCCAAAACTGCATAGTGATTACTTTGTATGTAATACAAGTCAGTCCTGATAAACATTAGCAGAAATTTACATCTTCTTCACTGCAAGTGGCATACAAGAATTCATACCTGCCTCTTTATTTGGCTGTAAGAAAATATATCATCTTTGCCCAAGTCTCCCACTTGTACTAAGAAATACTGCAAAAAGCTCAGAGATATCACTGTAATATTTTGCATGAAAGTGATACCCCACTGTAATAAAAAGTCAAAAGTACTCTTACTGCATGCTTACATTAGTCTTTGTAGATTCTGTAAACTTTACTTACTCTTTTTTAAGGCTTTACAGGCTGAATTTGTGGCACAATGCAAAGTGTGCCTTTGTTTGCCAAATACCCATTTGACATTTGTACATAAACAGATGCTCTGCAAAGTGGAAATGCTGTATCACTCACCCTGCCATCTCTAACACGTCCATTACAGTGGCTCATCAGCGATCTCTGTGAGCCTGGATGGACCAAACATTTCAGCACTGGAAATTGATGTCTGTGTTGGGCCACTGCCTTACAACCAGATAGGATCATGTCTGATGCACCAAAATACTTGAATTTCCCTTGGTGCAGGTCAGCTGTTCAGCTGTTGCACTCTGTTGACCTTGTCTTTTGAGCATAAACGTAGCAGGTTAGACAGGCTCATTTTATGGCCTGGATTTGACCACTTAGTGCCTCCCTCCCTCCTGCCCTAGTTTAAGCCATGCTCATAAAGTTCCTTATTTATGCTGCTTTGCTCTGGCCTCTAAAGAGAGGGTGCACATGTACAGAGAGTGCTCTGTACTTTGTGTTACCTAAACAAAGTCAAGGTAAGAACTGCAAAGATAGGGCCTTGCTAATACCAGGACTGGGAAAAACAAGGCTTACCTAGGCCATAATAAAAGATCACCCAGTAACCGTGACCTGACAGGGCGTTTCTTTCCACCTGCCTGGGATATTTATAGTTCACACATCACCAGTGAATCATAGAATCATAAAATAGTTGGCTGGAAGGGGCCTTTAAAGTTAGCCATCTAGTCCAGCCCCCTGCAATAAGCAGGGGCGTCTTGTCCTGAATGGGAGTTTCAGACAAAATTTATTAGGGAAGCCCTCCCACTGAGCCATGAGGTGCAGAAAGGACCCCCTTGCTTCATAAATTCCTGCTCAGAGAGGAGCCAAGGTACAGCTGAATCCAGTCTTAGCCTCAGACTGTCAGTGGTTTAAGTTTAAGAAATTACAGAGGTGTGATTGAACTTTTGTACGACTTTGTCCTGTAGGATAAATTATGGCAAACCAGATCTATTTATATAAAAATGAATTATATATTATGATAAATTATTAGACAAAGAGATCTTACTGAGAATTACTTACTACACACTATAGAAGATAAAACTACTGGGATAGAGTGGTACAGTGCACTCTATCAAAGCAACAATATTGAAGCAATTCTATTAAAACTAGCAGAAAGAAATAGTTATTAAAGCAGAGATTGATGTTATTCACCCATGCCAATGACCATGGGCAAAATATCTTTCACTCAGCCTTAAGGAATAACTTTGAGGGGTGTCCCCACCCAAAGGAGGAATCTTCATATACACTCCAAGAAGGAATATGTTAGAAGAACCTAACCATATGGAAATGGATTGGACTTTTATAGTGTACAGTGACTGACTGTCAGTCATATATCTCCAGGTCAGCTTAGCAGCCTGTCTGCCAAATCTTTACCTCACGGTCAGGATGCTAATTTGGGGTTAATGGGTCAGACTGGTGTTGTCATAATTCAACACCATAACCAGCTTGATGCCCTCTCTCAGTCCACCTAATAGCCTTGTAAATAAGGCATTGTCCAAGTTGCTTGACCACATTCCAGGGCAGGGCATCCTGCTAAACGTCTTCAACTAGACCAGGTTGCTCTGAGCCCTGTCCAGCCTGGTTTTGGCCACCTCTAGGGATGGTGTATCCATCACCTGTTCCTGCGTCTCACCACCCTCGCCGTAAAAAATACCTTCCTTACATCTAGTCCAAATCCGCCCTCTTTCAGTCTAAAGCTATTCCCCCTACAACTACATGCCCATGTAAAAAGTCCCTTTGCAGCTCTCTTGCAGGTCCTCTTTAGGTACTAAAAGGTGTAAGGTGCCTCCAGAGCGTTCTCTTCTCCGGGCTCAACATCCCGAACTCTCTCAGCCTGTCTCCACAGGAGCGCTGCTCCAGCCCTCTGATGATCTTTGCCTCCCTCCTCTGGCCTTGCTTCAGCCGGTCTTTCCCGTGCCGAGTGCCTGGGAGCTGGGCGCAGCACTCCCGGTGCGGTCTCACAAGGGCAGAGGAGGGGGGACAATGTCCTCGCTCCCCGGCCGGTCACGGTTCGGCCGCTGCCTCCTGGGCCGCGGCTGTGCCCGGGCTGCGGCGCTGCCGGCCGCTCCTGCCGCCCTGGGCCCGGCACGGCCGGCCCGGGCCCGGCACGGCCGCCGGGCGGCAGCAGCGGCCCCGCAGAGGCGGCGCCCGCTGAGGCGACGTGTCCCTGGCCCGGCCGATGGCCGCCGCCCGCCGCGCCCGCGCTGACTGATGTATTTGAAGAGGCCGGCGGGCGGCCTCGCCTTCTGCCTCTTCTACCTGGCCTCCAGCTTCACCAACAAGGTGAGCGCGGGCGCGGGGCCGCCCCGGTCTCGGACGGGCCGGGCGGGGCGCGGGGAGGTGCGGGGGCGCTGGCTGCCGGTCCGCGGCTGCGAGAGCGGGGGGCCAGGGAAGTGCAGGGATCCTGGAGCGGGAGGAGGAGAAAGACCAGGGACGGTGCCCTCTGCTTTCCCTGCCCTGCTCAGGGAAAGCCGGAGGACCAGCCCTTCCCGGACGGGACTATCCCACGAGTGAAAAAGTCCGTGGCACTCCAGCCCGCCGCCCATCCCGGTGTGCTCCCGAAACTGCGGATAGGGTGCCGGTTTCGTTTTGCTCAGTGTGAGACAGCTTTACCCTTCCACGACGAATGAGTTCCATTATTGTCTCGTTTAGGAGAGCAAGGAGGTTGACATCATATCGTTCCAATGAATGAAGTGTTATAGAGCCAGAAGTTATGCTGCAATGACTGTATCGCTGATGCTGTATATATTTCATTATTGGGTGTATGGCAACTGCACTCATTCCCAAAAGTTCTGTTAACTGGAACAATGATATCAACTATGCAAGGGAAAAACGTGAAATATCCAAAGTGTTAGTTTAGAAGTGAAACAAATAGCAAACAAAGCAACTTTGTTACTTTGACAACTTAATTAAATCCAAATCAAGTTCAAGAATTTTGTTTTCCACTGTGTAACAATTTCTTATGAGTGTAGCTCAAGTGTCTAAGCAGAAGAAGTAGGCTGAAGATAGCCACATTGTGAATAAAATTCTATCATTTAAGTATAGTTTGAAAGTAGCTTTTTCACTCTGGGAGGAGGAGTTAGAGTAACTGTTCCATGCTATCCTGTTTGTCAGAGAGCATGTCTCTCTTCCTGGTACAGATTTCTGAAAGGAAAAAAGTATTGGTGAAGCAATCAGGGTATGAATATTCTGAGAGAAGATTAGAGAAAAGCAGCATTTCAGACATGAAAATGAAATCTTTCTGGGCATTGGCCAGTGGTTTGTGTTCCAAGACACATTTGCCATTAAGGATGCCCAGAAGTAGACTGAAGTCCAGACAGGAAGCAAAGTTGTAGGGAGAGATAATGCACTTGATTTGGCAGACGGCAAATCACTGGGAGCAGTGATTAGTTTAACAGAAAGGGGCCAAAAGAGCTGCCAGGTTGCATCATGGATTGGGAAGGGTATTTATTTGGCTTAACTGTGCTTGACAGGAGGTCATAGGGACATTGACATAGGGCCTCCATTTTCAAACCTTCGTGTAGATTTTAGTGCAATAAAGTTTAAAATAACCAGAATATAGACCTTTCAGTTGTTGAAGGTGGTGTGCAAATGCAAGCAGGGACAAAGATGTGTAGGTAGATTTTCCTGATTTAAGATGCACTTGGCATTTCTGACAGCTGTATGCGTAAAAGGACCTGTTGTGAATCAACTTGCCTTGTCTCTGTATACTGATGCCAGCTTCTTAGGGACACCCCACAAACTGAAAACTGGGTCTTGCAAGGTGCCCAGCACAGTTTTCTCTCTGCTGAAACTTTCAGCTCCTCCTTTTGCCTATGACAGCTTCTGCTGGCTTCTGGAAGGAACAGCAGGTACCTTTCATTTCCTCTGAGGAAGCTTCAATCATTCTTCTCCTTTGCAGAAGTGGTATTTATATACTGCATCATGGCAAGTTATTAGACCTGGAAGGCATGTATTTGTGCCTCACATTTGCATATATACATATTTAGTGTGAAGAGACACTAGCATCCATACATGCAGGCCCAGACAAAGCAGACTAAAGCAATGACACAGATTTTGCTTTTTACCCCCATGTATTACATCTCTGATGGGCTTTATGGGCTGCTTAATATTTTACACAATGTGTAAGCAGAATGTAAGATACATTAGCCATAAGGAGACAATTATGTTTAGATTATTACTCTTGGTTCTGCCAAAGATTGCCTGTTTGGTACGATATGATTTCAATTGACTGCTGCTCACAGCTTTTTGTTCCTGTTAATACTTTTCCATTCAGTGTGATATATGGACTGTGTTCGGAAAGTGAAAGTGTAATTCAGATGACAGCCTTCTCCATTTTTCAGTGTGTCCACTCCATGCCTCATGTGCTTTAGTGTCTGTTCCTTTCCACAGTGGCTGAGGCAGCATCCAGCAGTTCTGGCGTGGGAAGTGTCATGAATGAGTTGTTTAGGTCACTCAGAGAATCACCAGCAAAGGGATGGGCAAAAGCAGATTTAATATTAAAGTGAAATCACAATAAAATTTGTTGGTGAGGTTCATTCTACTGCCATCAATACTACATTATTACATTATTACATAATTATTGCATTACTACATCACTACATCTATGACATCATTATTAGATGCTTAAAGCAGAGAGAGAAAAATCAAACTAAAATCAATCAATCTAAAAATCAATCAACCTAAAATTATATACATGCAAGTAAGAACAGGAAAGGGCAAGGATAAAAGGGAATAATATACAGTGAGTTACAGCATTCATAGTGGACCCGTTTGCCAAATTTAACTCCAGATTTAATGAATGGTTTAGTCTAAAGGTTATAACAGCACTTAAACATAGCAGCTCTTAATCAAATGCTTAATTTAAACAACTTAACAAAAGAGTCATGTAGAATTTAATATAGGCACAATAGTGACTCACTATCTTACTTACAAACCTAATATACTTAATAATCAAAGACAGCAATATTCATAATTAATTTGCTACAGCATATCCACATTCACATACAGTCAGACCTAAAGGAACATGTACAAGGTATACCCAGGAAAAATTCCCCTCAAATTCCTTGAAGTACTCACTTTGGATGTCCTTGCATCTTCTTCACAGGCAAAGGGTTGAGTCTTGAGGAGTGGATGGTATCAGCCCAGGATCCATCATCATCCTTCAGAGATCTTCCAAGTGTAGTAAGCTAGCTGGCTCTGAGGGGTGTCCCACTCAGAGAGAGGTTGCTGGTTGCATCCTGCTGTGGTCCAGGAGAGCTTAAAGGATCTCACTCAGGACTGCTGTTTATAGGGAAACAAGAGATTTGGGTTTAGACCAGAGTGATTTTCCTTCCTGGCCTCAATGCCAGTTGGTAACTTTCTTTGAAAGTTCAGTAACAAAAATGTTGTTTCACTTGGGTTCTTACATAGGCAAGAAAAATTAATCTCCAAGGCTGTTTGTTAAAAAGCAGGAGCTCGCTGGACGGCATTAAGTTCCTGAGAGCCGACAGCGTTTCTGATGAGCTCAAGTGGAACTTAGCCCAGACGCTGTTCTTTGAGATTGAGGCCTATAAAGCATTTCAGAGAACAGAGTGCAGCCCTGTGAGGGAAGGGGGAGGAAATACACCCCAACAAGTGAAATTGCTAAATATTTTTTTTTCTCTTTTCCACCAAAATAAAGCAAAATGAAATTTTTTTGGTGTTTGTTTTGTTGCTTGTGATTGTGTATTAATATTATGAACTGTAGGTGTTTGATGTCCATTAATTTGCTATTTGTTTTCCAGTATGTCCTGTCTGTCCTGCAATTTACCTACCCTACCCTTTTTCAAGGGTAAGTATGGTTTTAAGAATAGTGGTTTGAAAAATGACTTTAACATCTTGCTGTTACATGCTGAAGCTAACTTTACTACTTCTTGTTCTTATTGGCTTTTGCTGTCTAGAGAACATGCTTCATGAACCCTTAATAAAGCATTCATTAATGTGTCTTGGTTAATTTTTAAACATCATGGAGGGGATGTAATTGAGATACGTGGAGTCCATAATTTCTCATTTTCCTTAAAATCCTAAGCTTCACCATAGAAAAGTAACAATTACAGTACAACCTCTCTTCTTTGGAAGAGAGGAAAATGTGGAAAATGTGTATTTATGGTGCATTCTTTTGCTGTGCTAGAGAAAACCAACCTTAAAAACATCTTTAAGCATTCACAAATACTATGTTCCTTCTTTTCATGCTTAGCCTTGGTTGTAAGTCTGCATCACGAGTCACAATTATATCTTAATGGCTGTAATGAGAAAATTAATGTTTTGATAAATGTCCATATATACCATCAATGCTGTTGATGAGACATTTAATGAAAATCTGGCCTCTTAGAGCCAAGTTTTCCCTTGTTTTTGAGATGGTGTTAAAACTTGCAGACACTGGGTATCTTTACTTCCTCTTCTGCTGCTTAGCATGGCTTACATTTTTGCCAGACTTGCAGTCCCAGGACTGCAATCAACTCTAGGAATAATTACCTTGGGAATCTCCACTAACTTTGAATGTATTCAGCTCAATTAGATATGCAGTAAATGCTTTCTCAGTTTTGACACACACAGAGATTGTCTCTTGCATAAGGCTTTTATCATATGGGGAGAGGGCTTTGAGTAATTTGTGTAAAATAGCTGTGGTAAATCAACAGAAAAGTGTACTTCAATGGCAAGCAACTGCCTTATGGCATCTGTGTTGCTACAGTTATTTCCTTTTTCTATTATTTGGAAAGGCATTTCAGCATCTTAATATTTTTTCATAAGCTCTGGCTTTTAAAAATGACCTTTCCTTGAAATTTTTTTGTGGCTCAGATACACTTTCATTTAGACCTGTGACAGATGAGCAAAGAGGAAAAGAATGTAATTCTCAGTTCGTGATGTTACTGTTCACAGTCCTTGGTTTTGTTCCCTGAATAATCTTAGACTATACTGCATAGTCCTAAGCATCTGAAACTGTCACAAACTTCCGTCCTTAAAACCTGAGACAAGAGGAAATTTTTCACAATAAAGCTGATGGGATTTCACCACTGGCTTGGATAGAGCACAGTCAAACCTGCAGCAAATGTCAGGGAAACTTGGCTTTTAAGCTCTCATAGGCTCTTCATCCAAAAAAAGATGAAGTGAGCTGTGATAGTAGCATTAAATATTTACCACTATGCACTAGTACTGCACAGAGTGAATATTTGTTTATTTGTGTATGTGTGAGAAAGATTTTAAATAATTGCTTCAATGCATTGCAATGAATGGGAATAATAAATAAGCCCACTTCTCTACCTGTTATGGATGTTAAATGGCATTAACATTATAATACAGTATCTCTGTCTGAACTGTGCTAGATATTCAAGGATATTCACCCAAGGAACATGGAACACCTCTCTGAAAACCACTAGCTTAAGGAAGAAGAAAGCTGATAACTTATAAAGTGTTAAAGAAAGTGATAAAATGTAAAAGAAATCAGTATGCATTACTTGCTACTTATTTTAAGTTATCTGCACGTATTCCCAAGGCCTCACATATTATTGCCCAGTGTCATTCTGTTTCAGGTGGCAGACATTGGTGGGTGGACTTCTGCTTCACATCTCCTGGAAGCTGGGCTGGGTGGAGATAAACTTGTGTTCAAGGTACTGTAGGTTTTTTGGTATCTGCCAAACACTTATTTTCTGTTGCTGGATTACAACATAGCTAAGTTGGTCATGGATGTTATTAACTGGCTAAGATAGAGTTTGATGTATGTGGGGGTGTCGGTGTTCTGCTTCACAGATGTAGAAGAGAACTCACATTTTAGTTAAATGGGTGTTCAGTGACACACACTTAAACTGACTACTTATATAAAGTGGATTTAATTTAATCTTGGTAAGACAACCAAAAAGCCCATAGTGAAAACAATAAGGATGTCTCATCCAAACATCTGCCCCTAAGAAACAATCTCTTCCCTGGATTGTTTGTTAGTATTGTAAGAGAAACCTTGGTAATGTTAGTAAAGAGCATTGACACAATCTTATGCAAAACCCTCAGGGCTGTGAAATGTACAAATGTGATCTGCCTTTTTCTGAGAGCTGTGTTGCATAAATGGGGGTCATTTGCCTTTTCCTAACTGATGTTAGCAATAAAACTCCAAATTAAATGGTGCTTTGTAGACAAAAATCATCTGCTTGAGCTGAGTGTGACAGCACAATCCAGAAGAGTCGTCATGCTGTACTCTGCTCAGGTGGATCCATTCTGCAGTATGGAATGCAGCATCTTTTTCATTGTGCAAAATGGTATCATTTAGAAGATGTATGCCCGCAGCAATCATTGGATCTTCATCTCAGGAGATGCTAAAAACCTTCCTGGGCAATGACCTGAGTAATGTGACTTGACTCTGAAGCTGGGAGAGTTGGGACTAAATGCCTGCCAGACACCCCTTCTAATGTAACTTTTCCTCAGTGATTCTGTATTACCAAGTGACAACTGATGAACTTTCTGTTTGAGATTCAAACAGTTGGCTTGAAAAATTGAATCTCCTCACTTGGAATGAAATCCTGTGAGTATGTCAGAAAAACCAGGCTGTGTTCTGTTTTCATGTCCATACAAGTGATTACATCACTACGGAAATATAAGTGAGGTCGTAAATGAAAACAGAATTCAGTTTCCTATTTTATAGCTGCAATAAACTGAAGATATCATAAAAGCTGTCAGTGACTTTGGCAGAGACAGATTAGGGTCCAAACCTTGATTTCCTGGCAGTTACTGATACATATATATATTATTATCAAATTTATATTGTTTATGCAGATTTTGTTGTCACAGAAGAATACAGCCATCAGTAATGTCCTTTTAAAGTTCAGCTTTTCTACACTAATGATTACTTCTGCTTCAAATAATGAAATTGAAGAAGTTGAATCTTTTTTTCCCACCTTGGAAAAGATACTTTCGTCTTTTCAAAACCTGGGAAGACATTAAAGAAAATAGAGGACAAAAACCACTCGCTGATGTTAAGGAAGTTGTTTTTATCCAAGAAAGGCTTGGATGAAAAATTAGTTCATGTTTTGACCCTGGAGACTTGAGGCCACTAGATGTCAGCACAGTGTAGGGAAAAGCGTTGAAATCCCTCTTGGGAAACCTCTTTGTTAGCTTGGTTAATACAGAGTACCTGTTCTAGTATAGACTGAATGGAACAAGCAGAATTAATTTACATGCTTTGGCTATAATTCATCCAGCTATTTAAGCATGAGTTTAAACCTGCCTTTGTTCACAAAGATTAGGCACATGCTTTAATGCTTTGCAGGGGTGGATTCAAACATATATCTCCTAAAAAAAAAAAAATCAAAGCCAAAACAAAAAGCAGCCTGAAAACCCAAACATGGAAACCATCTAAACCTCTGAAGCACTACCAACAAGAAAAACTCACCAGCAAACAAACAAGTATGACATGCAAAGGTGATTTTAATGCCACTACTGGGATATGGACATTTCCATCCCCTCTGAAAAAATACCTGTCTCTGAATCTATCTTTTGGTTAGAGGGGAGGGTTTTGTCTATGTGTAGGATACTTAGGAATATCATAGCCAGTCCTCAGTTTCAAATGCTTAAAATAATAAACTGCCATCCATTCATGGCAGTTTGTTCATGTCCACAAAGTCCCAATTTTTCTGTCACATGGACTGATCTCATATACTTTCTGAGCCAGTTCAGGTTATCCCAAAGTGTCTCAGCAAAATTAAGTTATTACATAGAGATCATTGTCCTTTGTCCAAAGTCCAGAATACTAACCTCACTATAAAGACCAAATAAAAATGTATTATTTAGAGTAATCTCACTCAGGTTTTGTGGATAACCTGCTTTGCCTCTGCTTCCCCCTAGGATATACTGTAAGGAACTTTCTCTCATTGCTTCTAAACAGCAAATGTTGACTGTCTGCAAAACTTTTATCCAAAACGAGGGCTCTGTGGAGAGCAGAGCAACATGTAGCATCTGCATAATGCTTCCAGTCTGCTGCCTAACTGTTGTAGGCACATAAATCTGAGGCGTTCTGATAGGCATTTCTTGTAGTGCTGCATTTCACCCACAGCTAAGCAGCAGCTCAGAGTTTTTTTTTAAAGTGTTGTTTGGGGGAACCTACCCATTGCCTATCATGGGATTTGGAGTTAGCCCCACAACAACCACAAACTCATCAGTTCTCTTCCTCTTTTGCATGTACATTACTATATTGCCAAGAGGAGAAGCTGCTAATTGGTTTACATACAAGACAGATTGTTGATGCTGACATGCTACATCAAACATCCGTGCATTCTTTTTCAGTCCTAAAATTCCCACTTGGCAGCATAAAATTCTACCCTTACATCATGGAAAAAGCATCTGAAGTCCTTTTCCATTGCACTTCGCAGAATTGCATTGGAGATAAAGGCATATTTGGGATTCCTACAATTTAGTGGTGGGGAACATGAAAGAGTGATATTTTTATGTTCTAAATGAAAATTTGGTTTTTATCATGTGTTTCTTTTATCTTCCCAGAACCGCTTTCTTTTCTTCCCTCCCCTTTCTTCAATTTGTTGCTGTTCAAATAGTGCAGGGGGATTTTTGTTGGTGTCTGATGTGAATTCATTGTTAATGAGGTATGACAGTATTACATCTTGGACTTGATGTCAATAACCTCAAAAAACCCAGTGTTTTTATAAAAATTTATGGAGACTAGTCAAGAAAACACAGGACAAATATTTATGCCAGTTAAAGGATCTAAACATTATTTTTGTGACCCTGGGTTTTTGTTGTCTTGGAAAATTATATATATAATAACACAGGAAATGTGGTATTTATGGTTTTTCCCTTGTCTGTGATTACATGAATCTTTGTGCATGTTTTATCTTTATTCACACAGTTCTGATTTAATTGTTTAGTCATCTGTTTTCTTGTGTTCCATGAAATGTGCTGGTGTACCAGTATCTACAATTACATTTCAAGTCTTACATCTTAATTGGAAGTGTAATGCAAACTAAGGAACTACAAGCAGTTTGGTTTTGTTTTGAGAACCAGCACTGCCCGTTAATGTTTTCTCCACTTTAATTCAAAGATTGGGAAGAGTGAGTGAGGCAGCCATGTCTTCAGTCCTGGGAAGCCCTCAATTCAGGCCTTTACCTCATGGCTACTCTTTTCTTCCCTTGCCAAAAATCTTACATTATTCTCTCTGAAATTTACCACCTACCTGATCCCTTTTTTTCCCTTAAGTAACAAGATCAAAAATAGAAGTGCAAGTTCTGAAGCCCCTTCTCAGAACTGAAACCTGACTCTACTGCAGTAACCATGGCTAAAAAAAAAATTAATCAGATCAATCTGATGACTTCATTCCTCCATTAGTTGTCAAACTGCCTCTAGGAGTTTGGCTTAGTCAAAGGAATATGATTAGGAAATCTCAAGAGATAGGCTTCCACAGAGACAATCTGATCTTTAGGAAGAATCTCTTTGTAAATCTGGCTGAGAAATGAATGTGTGGGTGGCCCAGTGTATTTGTACATAGTGAAAATGTGTGCTGTCTGTGCAAGTGAGCCATTTTATGCCTTCATTTGTCAGGTTTCATTCCTTTCACAGAACATCAAAGAAATTAGTTGAAATGTCTTTAATACCAATGGGAATAATTTCTAAGGGAGGAAAAAAACCAAAAAACAACATGATTTTAGAGGAGAGGAGCTGGGGAAAGAGTAAAACAAAGAAAATATATCTGCAGTTAGTTCCTCTCTTGGATTAGACAAAATGAATAATTTCTAATTTGGACTCCTTAGTAAATGGGAAGAATACTAAGCAATCTGATACTGCCTTTTACATGCACATATTTGAAATTACTGTACATATGTACATATTATTACATTCATTGCAAGCATTGTTGCTTTCTGTATGTAAACAGAATGTGGTGAAATAATGGGATTTTAATTGTTTTCACAGGTCTGAAATCCTGTCATGGCTTCCTGCATCAGTACTTTTTGTGGGCATTATTTATGCTGGCTCCAGGGCACTGTCTAGATTGGTAAGAAATGAACCAGTAGAAGTCAGCTCTTTATTACCTCTACTTTGTAAACAAAGACCATTCCCTTCATACATGGTGTTTAATGTTGTTCCTGGGCTGAGGGAGAAGGAGGGAGGAGGACTTTAAATAATAGATCCATTGTTAGTGGAGCTAATGCAGCGGTCCAATCCTACTAAGTATCAAAAAGCATCTCTGCGACAGTCTGAAGCACTCAGCATCTCTACAGAGTACTTAGTGTTTTGCTGAACAGATCCTCAGTGGTCTGAATTGTACAGGTAGGAAAGAAGCTGAAGAAATCAGTAGCTGTAACTTTGCAAAAGGAGGAATGGGTTTGTGGGATCTGTGGGAAATCCTTCCAGGAAACTGATGAAGATTATTTCAATGAGAAGGTTTTGATTCTTTGCAGGATTTGAAAAAATAAATAGAAAGTTGGAAAGAGATTATGGGAAGGGTTAGATTACTCAATTTTAGGATTCATTTGCATCACAGTAATTTACCAAATGTTTACAGAATGTCAAATCTCCTTTCAAGAACTTGAATGCTTTATGCTTAAATTATATAGCCTTCTCTAAAAAAAGTAAAAAAAAAAAAAATTGGTGGCATTTCTTTTTTTTTGATAACAATATTTTGTTGCTGTTGTGCAGTCTGCAAGCTGAGATCCTGCACCAGTTCCCTTCTGCATTCTGTCAATGCATCTTAATGTAGCTCCAGAGCCAGCTTGTCCCTGTCACCTCCTGAGCCTTAAGCAGGATCAAAAGGGACTTTTTTTACCAGATTCTGATTGTAGTGATCCCTTGAAAATCCCAGTAGACAGAGCAGAAAAAACAGGAGGTCTCTGTCCTTGTAAGCAAGGTTAGGGGCCTTATCTTGGACACAAATAATCTTGGGAAAGCATGTGCTCAGAAGCCCCATGCTCTGTGATCATTTCTCCCTCAGTGTGATTGCATTTACTTCCTCTTGCTTCCTTGTCACAGGAAGTTCCACTTGCCTTCTTTAGTGTAAGGTAAGCAAAGTCCCATAACAAAACCCTGTCTGGAAGCACCAAAAAGCCTTAGCAGCAGCCTCTTTTCTCCTTGCTCACCTGGGTGGTGGAGAAGTTAAGAATCACAACCTCTCTGCTATTTCTTCTTACTTCCTGGTCATCCTGAAAGTTACTGTATTTACCTCCTGTTCCTGCTCTGGTCATTCATGAGTGAACTGCACTGGAGTGGCAGAAGGGCTGTGAAGGGTTTTCATTTGTATCCCAAACCTTTCTTAAGGAGCATCTCACATTTCATAACGGCTTTTGTTGTACATGAATGGGGATTTAGAGATCTAATTCTGTGGCCATTTTACAAGGCAAGACAAAATGAAAAGCAGTCTTAGACCATAATTATTATGTGCTGTCTTGTAGTGGAGCTAAATTCAATCCTATGTAGAAGCTTTACTTACAATAACTTTGTCTACAACAATTTTATGACACAGTGAAAATGAAAGTGGACTCTCTCAAACTCATAGCTGAATTGGCTCATCTCAACAGCATATTTTAATTAAGTGGGTTTATTTCTAAAGCAGAAATAATGTGTACTTTTATTATCAAATCCAAGGGGACCCACTTTCAAACATTCCTGTATACTGGCAAAGCTGCAACTTTAATCTGTTTGTGCCTCTTCCTAGAGGTGCTGGCAATCTCCCCAGACCAAGGATTCAGGGCTAGAATGGGAGGAGGACTGCTTAGCTCTGGACTGTGATTATTTAAAAACTATGCAAAGCCATGAGAGGAGATTTGTTCAGAGTGTATTCGCCCTGCCTGCCCAACCAGTAAACCTTTCTTTTCATAAGCATTAAGCCCACTCACAAATTTAAGAAATGCTTGCATCAAAGGCAATAGACATATGGAGAAGGTTAAGTGGGCTAGGCCAACTGGAGCCATTGTTGGCTCCAAAACACATTTGGAAGAGCCAAAACCAAAAGGGAGGAAAGAAAAACCCAACAAATTGGCTTTCACAAAGGGAAGAATGTAAATTTTGCTGTCAACTTTCCTTGTTTATGGGTATTTCTTGTATTTCCTATTACTGTGTCAAGCTCAGACTGCTTTTATGTTTAATACTTCTGAGTTTCTGTTCTCAGTTATCCAGCAACAGGGATGAGAATTGGTTTTCAGTACCGATGAAGCTGGGTCCAACAACTTCATGCCAGTTGTGTTTGTGTGATTTCCATTCTTATTTTGGTGCAACTGTTGTGACTATGGACCCACTCCAGCTGTCATTATGACTTAAAATGTTTAATCAGCAATGCTTATCTGGCTTCTTTTCTTTAACATGTAAAGAAAAGAAAATTACAGAAAATATGCAAAGTCACATTTGAGAGATATTTGCTGCTTATATCACCTGGTACTTAAAAGTTTGGACATCACTGAGAAGTTAATCCATTCCCTGCTACTGTGATTTAAATACCATATATGAGTGGGGAAATACTGCTTCCTAAAATGGCTTAGTCTTTAGATTATCTTAATCAGAGCAGAGAATTGCTTCTGTTTCAGCTGTCTGAGAGACCATGGATCTGATTTGGAGGAAGTATTATGAACCACTAATTCTGGTTGGGTTTGCCTGGGGCAGTGGGTGTTTGATTCATTATTGTTATCATTAGGGTTTGTTTCTTAATGATTTCATATTGGGATGGTGTCCAGATACCTCAGTGGGTATAATTTCAACATCATTGTGTATGAACTATTGCATTTCTATCCTAATTTTGGGCAGTTCTTCCTAGCAGTAACTGAAAGCAATCACCTAAAATTGTCTTGCCCATAAATCTGTTGCTAGGAGTCACACTGTATTCTTAGTACCAGCAGACAGAGATGGGACAACAAATGAGAACTGTTTACTGTGAAGGCTGAAGATCCTGGATCAGCGAGGGAAGACTACAGGCTGAAACCTGGAGCAAATCTCACTGGGGTAGCTGGGTACACACAAGCTGACTGAGAACTCAGCAGTGGGAGATGCAGAAAGCAGGTCTCCAGGAGGGTCTGCATTTAAAGATGCCTGTGCCCGTGTGCTAGTGATTGGAATGGGTTAAGTCTCTTTTAGGTGATGTGGCATGGGTTTACAGCTTCAAAAACAAAACCCCAAACCACAGACATGTGGGACAGCTGTTTCTAGGAGGAGTGCCCCTTCCTATGTGTGTGACTGCTCTGGGTTGATTTGAGCATTTTTGTTCTCTCCCCATGGCAGCCAATCCCGGTGTTCCTCACTGTGCACAACGCGGCAGAAGTCATAACCTGCGGGTTCCAGAAGTTTGTGCAGAAAGAGGTAATTGACCTATTAGTCAAGGTAACTCCTGTGATAGAACTGCCCCAGAGCAAGATACCTAATTTCTCTTAATACAGGCATTAGTGCCAAGTACTTTTCTGGACTCACTGTAATAGCAATTAATTAATGAGACCCTGAGAGAGCTTTTTGCTGGTGACAAGTGTCTATACTGATGTTTCCTTTCCCCTTATTTGATGAAATACTGCAAATACATATCACCAGTCTGATCTGCATTTTTAAGACTGGCTTGACCCTGCTTATTTTATGCTTTTGAAAATTAATACTGCCTCTCTCTCATGCCCCACATAAAAGTCTCATTGTTTGAGCTGAGAGGAATGAATACTATGCCCTTAGATCTAATCAGTAAAATAGATCTTGTTCATTGTATGCTTACAGATAGGTCACATTTCCACATAAAATGCAGGAGGAAGAGTGCATTTTTAAATTTGTTTTGAGTGTTTGAGATTTTGCCCCTATGAATGTCAGGAGAATAACTTTTGTACCCTTTTGTAAGAACTGGTTTGTTTTTGGTTTTTTTTTTTTCCTTACAAACTGCATTGGGGAGCCTTCTTTTAAGGCTTTTTTTGAAATGTTTTTCTAACTGACTACAGAGTTGCTGTGTGAGCTAACACTGGGAAATCATTCATCACAAAGTTGTTTCTACAGTGGCCTCTGGCTTGCTGTGAAAGGCATCTTCCATTCATTATAACTGTTTTTTGTATAGAAGACAGATAAATGGGTGTTTACTTCATCTAACAAACAGAAGGGATCATGAAGGTTATGCCTAAGGGACATAGCAGTGTGTACCATGGCATGTCCCTGTGTCATTGTCCTCTGATTAGTCTCCCTGTCAAAGTGTTTAATATTTTCCTTCTATGTCACAAGCTTATGACTCCTCTCTTTAAAAACAAAAGCACTACAGACAAGGATAATGCAAACACAGGCCTAACGGAAAGCTCCTCAAGAATAATTTCATATCAAAGAGTTGGGAAAATTTCATGAGTTTAGATCAAGATTGGTTTGTATGAGGTAGTACCCAGTTAGGAAAACTCAATATTTGAGTACATATGTTACACAGTTTTGGTACAATTCAAGTCAAGTTTGAGGAGCAGGTGTTAAGTTCATGTCTGGTTTTAAGTTTACTTGCTGGTAAGTAATCTGAAAATATAAATCAAGGTGCAGTAGGCTGATCCATAATCCTGATTCTTCTTTATCAAATTAAATTTGCTAAGCAGTGCTCAAATTTTGAATGCTGCTCATTGAAGTTTTAATGTGCATGGTGCAGTAAGATCAGCTGTCATCACTTTTGAGCTTTTGGAAGGAGAAAACACTATTTTACCATTTTTATCATTAAATTTTAATGTTTTAATCATACTTTCTTTTTTACAGCAGACCTCTCATCTGAAAGTCTGTAGGTAAGCTTTTAAAACTACTCAGATTCAAATTCAGACTTGTTTTGGCTCCAGCTTCTGTATTTGCTTCAGATAATGGCACACCAAAACAATGAAGAATGTAAGGCACATTCCTGTGGGCAGTGAGCCTAAGTTGTAACATAGGAGTAATTAAATATTTTTAGGTCTTTTTTAGCAATTGCTTGCATAGTTTGATATGTTTTTTTTTCCTTACAAAAATGAAATGAATGATAAAACAGCCCATAACAATGCTTTTGGAAAGGCTTGAAAGGTTTGAGCTTCCAGTAGGTAATCATAAACAGTAAGAGAAAGATAATTAGTGTGTTAGAAAGTAGCTAAAAATTCCCTTCCTTAGAATTGAAAGGTAAATTAGATCCATTTCTGCTGGAATCATTCATAGTGAGGTGGGGGTCAGTCTGTTCTGCCATGTCTCAAATGAAGGGACAAGAGAAAGTGGCCTTTAATTGCACCAGGCGAGGTTCAGGTTAGATATTAGGAAAAAAAAAATCACAAGAGTGGTTTGGCATTGGAATAAATTGCCCAGGGAGGCGGGGGGGTCACCATCTCTGGAAATGTTCAAGATGTGGCACTGGGGGATATGGTTTAGGGTGATTACGGTGGCTCTGGGCTGACAGCTGGACAGATGATCTTGAAGGTCTCTTCCAACCTTGATCATTCTGTGACATTAAGCTGCACAACTACCAACCCTTGGTGGCCCTGGTTGTTTAGGCTTCAAAAAGGAGATGGAAAGAGACAAACAAAAATCAACCAGTCCTGTGTTAAAATTTCGATTCTATGCCCCAACATCCCCCTGGAAAATGGTATTTGCTGTCTTCCACATCCTGTAATCTTTTAGCTGTACTTTAGAATGGATAATGTTGGGTTATTATGTAGTGTACTTAGAGACATTATCTTCCTAATTTCTTCCTGTTGTTTTCATTATCTAACTATGTGGCCTTGTCTTCACCACTGGATTATTGTCAAGGATACCGTTTTTAAAATAATCTTTATTCTGTCTTTTCCCATGCCTTAGAGAGTAGGAAAATAAGCTGCAAAACCAAGAGTATGTTAATATAGTGACAGACCACAGAAATTCCACAGTGTCTTCCCTGTAGCTTAAAGAAATACTGACTCAGCCACAGATTAAGAATTTATTTAGCTTAATTTGGTGGACTAGGAGAGGACTTGTGCTGTCCTTAAGACATTTCCAGTATATACCAGTCAATTCCACCTTGCTCTGTGCTCTGGAGTAACAGTGTCACTTGTAATGGAGTCACATCTGCTGGAATTGCTGTAACAGGCAATTAGTCCCAATGAAAGAACTTTTTGGTAGCCATTCAGCCAAAAATTGGCTGATTTTGGCTTTTTGAAAAAGCCTAGGGAAGCCAGATGGCTAGTGAAAAAAAATATTCTCTACCAAAAAAACTTGTTTTTATCACTTCCGAGGTGTTTTGTGCTTCTTCTCTTCCCATAAAACTTTGCTGTGCACAAGATATGAAGAATGCATTATGTAAAAATTCTGGTGGCAGAAATTATTTTTTAAACATGGAATAAGAAAATTAAACAAGTGTCAGTTAAAGAAGCAGTGCCTCTGCTTTGCTGGGAGTAGAAATCCAGGTTAAAGGCCTTTGGTCTTGCTTTTTTTTTCTTTCTCTTCTCCACAGTGTGCTGTTCCTCCTGGCAGCAGCAGTGTGCCTTCCTTTGTGTGACACACAGGTGAGATCTGCTTTGTAAAGCAGCTTGAGCTAGGCCTTGATGCTTGACATCCTGTTAGCATATGAGGGATGCAGCTTTTACTGGTAAACTAGACTAGGATTCTTACAAGGGAATTGTAAAGGTTTCCTGTTGCTGTGTTGTGATCTTGCTGGGTTTACTGTGTTTGCGTCATGGTAAAACCTCTGAGCAGTGTGGACATACAGTGAAGGTGGTGGCTGATGAAACCACAGTTTTACATCTTAATTGTGCTTACAACAAATCACTTAGGTTTGAATTAGTTTTGTGTGCTTTCAGGAATTTCCTGAATTAGTTTTGTATTCACTGTACACACCTTCTGTAGCTACCTGAGAAGGAAAGGAGGTGCCTCCAGAGAGTTCTCCATTCAGGAAAGATCTAATCATTGGAGATTCTCTTTTGGAGACTTAGGAAAGCTGCTTCCTTGCTTTAGATACCTCAGTTAATATCTGAAGTCAGATGAGTCTGTAAATAGGTGTACACATCTGAAATAGAATTATCCTTGCTGATACGAGCTGAGAACCTGCATAATTGGCATATACCAAGTTTCTGAGTGTGACAGGAAGAATTTCAGTCTTCCTAATCTTCTTTAGTCATCTTCCCTTTCTTTGTAGCACAGCTCCCACTTGCTGTACTTGCCTTGCAAAGTTAACTGCAGGGAAATTGCAATATGTATGTTTACATGTTCGTGCTTTTATTTATGTAGATGTTCTTTATTGCAGTTTGATCCAAATGGATATTTATGGGCTCTAATTCACTTGATCTGTGTTGGTAAGTAATTTTCTTCTAGAAAAAGAATTAGGAAGAGTAAATGTGTTGGAGAAACCAGTTTATTATAAAGTTACTGATATTTGAGATTCTATATATAAGAAACACTTGAAAAGAATAGAGATCAGTAAATATAAGAAAGTGCATTTTTTTATAGCTTTTATGTTGAAAACAAGAACAGAACACACTGCATATTGCAGTCTGTTAACAGTGGATGAGAAAATGTACATACAATTTTAATGAGCACTAACCTTTTCTGGTTGTTTTTTGATGGTTGCCTACTGAGAAAGACTTCTTTCTGAGGGGAGAAGAAACATGAAAAAAACCAAGCAATAATTTGTACCTGGAGCTTTGTTGCCCTTGTTTGTTTTTTAATTTTATTTAAAAACTGTCAAAAATATACTAAAATATCACAGACTATGGTCCCAGAGGAAGGATGTTGAAATGCTGGACTTTTTAAGGCAATCATATGCATTAAAAAAAAAAAAAAAATTAACAATTAGTTGCATAACCTATCAGATTTTCTTTTGTCTTTTTTTTCAGACCAAACGTTGATTTGGATAAATCGTTGTTGTTCTCTGAATAGCTAGCAACAGTCAGACTAGAAAATCTGAAGAAAACAAGAGCAGTAGTATTTAATAGGAGATTTTTGGTTTTTTGAGTATTTTGATGGATAATAAGGGACTTGTATTTGATTCTTATCTGTCCTATATACTGAGTGAGTGACTCATTCATGTTAAGTCTTGTCTGCAGATTAGGGATGATTCCTTCTTTATTTCTTCTATTCATACTGTAAAATTTTCAGGGCAGAGGTAATATGTTTATATGTATTCCTGTATAGGAAGGTCTAGAGATCCCCATCTGAAATGGTGTAAACATACAAATAATAAATAATTTTGGTGGGTTTTTTGAGAAATATATGATAAACATTTGTTCATTTATATAAAAGTAAAAGCTATAGATTTTCCACTTCAAATACTTTATTGCTGTGATGAGTGATGTTCTTGCTTTCTCAAAGCCAAGGAGTCTCATTTGTAAAGGAATGCTTGGTCATGGAGGTGGAAAATTGCTTAGAGAGTCTTCAGAATGCTTCATTTGTGTGTTTGAAATGTGTAGGAAGTGCCAACAGAATGTTTATGCTCAAAATATAGCTGCCTTCCATTTCTCTTGGTTTTGAGAGTTGTTGATATCTCTATTGGGAGTTATTTGTGTAATTAGATTTCCTATCAACTGGAATGAAGGTGCTACGAGAGGGGGCGAACAGATGAACTAATGTACTGCGTAGTAAATCAAAGAAAGGACGTGTGTTCTACCCTTCAGCTTGTGTAATGGAGGCAGGATTGAGAAGATCTATTTCATAGTCTTCTACTGGGTTGACTTTTCATATTCTAGTTTTCTCTGTGAATAAAAAAAATTACCCCTAAGCCTGGAAGAAAGGATCTGAAAAAACAGAGCCTGAAGCATTGTCACTTCTTCCATGAGTGCTCAAATCTTTACCCAGGACAGAAATGGTAGAGGTAGATGGGTGGGTCAAGAATGTAAAGAACCTGGAGACACTAAAGCTGAGAGAACTTTAAACAGGAAAGATGGCTCAGACTCAACAGCTCTATGTAGGTGATCATATATATCATAGAACTTACCACCAAAATTGTGTAGGCTTAAAAACCCATTCTGTGACATTTCTCTGTATGTATTTACACATAAAACCATGCACAAACACACAACCTCTCCTTCGTTGTTGCTGTGAGCTAGAAGATGTCCTCAGTAGGAGCTAGCAGAAACACGAAGCGTGACTGTGCTCAGAGCTGATAACACTTTGAAAACCATTAATTTGAAGCAATAGGTTCATTTTACTCATGGTTTAGGAATCGTTTGTGCTGTGTTGCTAAATTGTAATTCAGAGGGGTTCCACGTCTGCCAGTAGCACAGCCAAACAAGCTGTTGTTTGTCAGAATGATCGCATGATGTGGCAATTACACATGTCATTTCAATTACAGGGGCTTACAAAGTATTTCACAAGTTGTGGAAACCTGGATCTTTAAGGTAATGTGTTTTCTTATTCTTTCTCTTTATAAAGAGAGATGACTGTGATACAGGGAGCTGTGCATGATCAGCAGGAGCTGGGCCACTCCTGGTTAATCATTAATGACTTCTCTTGCAAGATGAGCCTTATTTATTGTTGGTAGCAACAGCATGTGGTCATTGATAGTTATACTGCTAACTGGAACACTGAATTAGTTTTAAACAGTGTATTATCCAAGGGTGACAACCAGCCCTGGAAAAAGAACCCCTAATTACTGACACAGGTGTTAAGAGTAAATATTAGTCTGTGTTCATGTGGAAAGCTACATGGTTTGGATCTGTCAGTATCTCCCTTTGTGACACAGTCTCAAAAGCGTTCAGCAGCTGGTGGTTTACCACAGGATGGGAACGGCTGAGTACCTTAAACACCTTGGAACCTTGGACTAATCCCATGTGCATGTTAGAACTGCAACCATACAGTAGTAGTTGTGGAATCAGGTGGCACTGCATGTTCACAGTCTGTAATCTGCAGTTTTCTTTATGGATAGACATGGGTATGTTGGCACTGCATATGATGTATAATATACATGCATGGATAAGCTTATTTATTTCAAAACCATTTTCCATCTCTGGTTAAAGGGTCTAAATTTTAATCAGTCTCACTTTATCTTCACTTTAAATGAAACTCCTCCTGACAGTAACAACGGAAATAATGTGTGGATCCTGTGTAAATTAATATGTTGGTCAATTGATAATTAATTTATTTGTGTTGATAAAATTATTACTATGGTATCTTTATAATGTATATAATTATAATATATATAATGTTAGTATTACCTAATATTAACCTTGCTATATATTATATAAATTAATATAATGTAATATTACAGCATTACTGTATATTACTGCTTAATATACTGATCTGTTAGATCAAATGAAGTGCACTGCTAAAAATACCACTGTTTTTTCTTTGCCTCCTCTACCAGTGATCTGGACCAACAGTACATCAACTATGTGTTCAGGTAAAATGAATAAGTCTTTGATACACCAGGGCTGGTTTTATGTGGTATATGTTTTCATTTTCAACCTTGGCTTGTTGAAGAAACTCATAGCTATCGCTACTTCAATGCATTTATTTAGCAGGACATTCACTGAAAGAGCAGTGCTAAGCTGAACGGCTTAGCAGCTGAATTTTTTTGGCTCCAGTTGTAGATGGACATGCCAATGTACACCTGAGGAGGTAACGAGGTGTTAATTATGAATTTTTAAATCACCACGTGCACAAGTGATCTATCACTTCCAGAAATAATATTTACAGAGTAACTCCCTGGCAATACCCCACTTCAGAAAATAAAACTTGTACAAAATTGCCAGAAGAGGAGGTAGTGATTACAAAAGTACTGTGTGCAAAGAACATGAGCAGTAACTGATTGTTCAGAGTGCCATTAGTGGGATTGAGTAATTCTGACTTTCAGTTGTTTTTCTGATTTGGAGATAGAAGAGTGGCTTGTTATTTTGTAGCTAGTGAAAGAGTCTAAGTCACTGACCAGATTCCCCTGCTTTTTTAAATCCAGTCCTTTCTTCAAAGAGCCACAAACCAGGACATTCAGTGTACATGGCTTCTGTTAGATTTTTGTGAGGCTTTATTTCAAGTAAGGCATCTAGAGACTTGATTCAATTTTCTTCCATCCAAAATCACATCTAATATATGTTGGCCTCTTCTACCTAAAGTCATTTGGGAACACAAAGTATGAATAATAAATTCAAGGAAATTCCTTCTGTGGTCAGAAAGAGTGAAAGAGGGAGCAGAAGTTGGGAATAAGCATAACAAAAGTGAAGTTGTCCCAGTCTGTTTGATTAGATGGATATATGCTCTTGTCTGGCCACATGAAAGATCCTTCATAAAAGTACACCAATGCATGACAGTTGCTTTCCTTCAATTCCCATTTGTCTTGTGATCATAGTCAATATGATAACACTGTATCTCTTTCTGTCTTAGTTCAATCAAATCTCCTATTTCCGTAAATAAGTAATGCAGGCCTCTGCTTTTGCCTTTATGATTCACCAGGGTCCCATTAATGGGCAATATCTAGATATCAGTTTGCTTGAAGTAAGCTCTTGTTTAAGTCAGTTGTTGTTTTACATCTATTAAAAATGCACAGCAAATCCATTTTACACAAAGAAGGTAGGTGTGTTTATTGAAATTTTGGAAGAATTAGTCTTGGAATTTGCAAATATGCTGCCACATGCAAAAATAATCTATGAAGTCTGCAATGAGATATAGCTACCTCTCTGTATTGAAGGGAAATCATGAACCAAGCAGTAAAATCAATTTATTTTCGTTTGGCAGCTGCCTGACTGTCTCTCAGTTCTCATTTTAGTTGAAAATTGCATCTAGGCCTGAACCTTTAAATTCAGATTTTGGCCAAAGGTCTTAATTTTTCATCTTTGATTGAAAAGTCAGAGCTGGGCTGTTTCTGTGTTAGTTCATGATCTTGGCCCTTTGAAGTCTTTGAACTTGTGTCCAGCAGAGAGCAGGAGTCCCACATTACATGAAAAGTATGATAATTTATTTGGAAGCTTTTGAAAGTGAGAAGCTTCTCACTGAGGAACTGTGAGGTGCAGCAGTATATGTATATAAAACTGTTGTTTTTACAGAAAAGAAACTAACAAACAATCCAACAATGGATTTATGCAAATTGGAAGATGGCTATTTTCAGCATCTGTTTAAGTGCAAAAATTTGTTATCAAAGCTTCCAAAGTTTTTCCCCAAGAAGAGGCTTAAAGGTCAGTGTAGATGATGGTGCAAAGCAACTTGCTGGAAAACAGGTGGCTTAAGGGAGTTTCTTATTTCCTTGGTTTGGGTCTGTGTGTATCTACATGTCTATGTGTCTGTATGGGTATACATTTCTGTGTGTAGGAGAAATTCACAATCTGCAGCATTTGGATCTCATCTTGCCTAGGGAAAACAAGCAGTACCATGGAAAATGGAATAAGTGACATCTGAATTCTTTTAGAGTTTTGTTTTGTCAAAATAGCTAATGATGTTTGAAAGGGTGTAAAGTTTGGCAGAAATGCTCTCCTGGTCTGCAGTCTCCATGATGTGTCTCTTCCAGTGTCTAATGGGGCTGGAATCCTGCTGCAGGAGGCACAGGCAGGGTTTGTCCCTGTGTGAGACCCCTGCACATGTAGTTATCTCAGAGACCACTGACACTTCCCAAATCTGGATGAAGCTGTTCAGCATGTTTGAGAGCTATTTGGAGCTGTGAACACCCAGCTTAACTGCACAAACTTAATTTCTGTAGAAAATAATCAAAACTACTTTTAAAGTAATCATTGACTAAAGGAATGTTCTCTGAATGTGCACTAACTCCTCACAGGCAGCTCTGGGTCAGAATTACTGATTATCTCTGTCAGAGGGTGCCCAGCAGTAAATTCTGTGATTTAGCAGGTGTTAAAGCATATGTTGCCTCCTCTTCTCAGACCTTCTCAGGGACTGTTCTGGCCATGACAGGATCACAGTTCCACCTCCAGGACAGGACAGTTTAGTGTGTACTGGAGGTCTTGTCCCTACAAGCATGATTGTGTGATCCTATGATATATGAAGGAACTTGCTAGTGTGGTATCAGTGCAAGTTTTTCCTCCTAAAACTATGATCAACAGGTGTTTAAAGCTCCTTATTTCTAACCTAGATCAGACATGTAGCTGTGTGGGCACAGCCAGATAGTGTTTAGAATCATTCAGTCTTTTAGGTTAGAGAAGACTCTTAAGGTCATTGAGTGCATTAAGCAAGCACTACCAAGCCCACCACTGAACCTTGTCCCTAAGCCCCTCGTCTCTTAAATATCTCTAAGGATGGTGACTCAGGCACTGCCCAGGGCAACCTATTCCAATGCTTGATTCCAAAGCCTTTTAGTGAAGAAATTTTTCTTAATACATAGGATTATGTTCAAAGTGTTCATTATGTTCAAAATGTTCATGTTATGATACTCAAAGTATTTCTCAGTTCAGTATGAAAGCACAGTTGTACTCTACTGAGTGTAGAGACTGCCTGCATGAAGCAGATTAAAAGATCTGCCACAAATTACTGGATGTTAGAATATACCAATATGTTAGAGTAAAAAAGAGAAGGCTGTGTTGGATACTTCCAGAAGTGCAACTGAAATGAGCAGTCTCCAAACATATGCTGTCCTTACACACCATGCACTATTTCTTGTTCTGAAATCTGGAACAGTTTGGAAGGAAAGAACACCCTAAGTAAATGTATATGAATGGGAACTTTCCAGAATCAAACAGATCTGAAGAAATATTTGCTGATGTCAAAAGTCTGGCATTCTTCTTACTTCATCATTTCCAACATGATTATTCAATGGCTTTTAAAAAGGGAGCCAGGCCAGGGACAAGTGTAGGAGGGAAAGCAGAGCTGTGCTATGCAGAGAAGGGAGGGGTAATGTTGCTTCTCAGTGCCCAGCCCCATCCAATTCATCCCTCTCCCTTGTGTTTAAGCATCTGGGGCAGGGAAGAAGAGAAAAGGGTCAATGTACTTCCAAGATCCTGCCTCTAATCCTCCAATCCTCTTGATCCCACCCCCTTTTTTAAACTGCAGTATTGTATTTCTCTGTACTCTGACTTCTGCATTAGTGTTCTACTTCCTAGTGGGGTTTTTTTTTCCTTGTAATCTTACATTTTCTTTTATTCCTTTCTGTTCCCCCACTTTTTATCAAAGGGGGAGCCAGATTTCTACCCCTTAGCTGGTGAGGGGTAGCATGAGAGGAGGAGTAGTAATGCCTGCCTGGCATGTTGAGGGAGACATAAATGACTTAGAAGCAGATTGTAGCTTCTCTTGGGCTTTCTCCTATGCTGAGGCAAGTAAAGATATTTTACTTCTTGTTAAGAACCTGCAAGAAAGTTTCAGTGCATCCCAATACCTGTCTCTGTCTGAAATTTGTCCACAAAGGCATGCCTAGATGGCCTGGCAGCCATTGGTGAGGAGAAAACAGATACAGGAGAATTTCAAATGGTGAATAAATAGCAAAGTTATGAGGTAAAGGCTCTACTCTATGCAGCAAAACTACATCTGGCTTCTGGAAGAGCTGCTAATCTGTCACTTCTGTGAATTAAAAATGCTGCAGTAGCTTTTATGCAATAGGGGAGAGCAGTTTTGCAGGCATAAATTGCTTTTCTTGCTGACAAAATCTCTTTTTTCCAGAAAGGAAACCACGAGTGACCCAGCCCTCAGTATTTAGTACAGGGGGAAAAAGAGAGGAGCAGAGAAATCTGGCACATGGAATTTGTTTTTGCTGCAGCCTCGTATTCAGGCTGTCCTGCTAGAAACCTCTGAATCCCTAATCTGGTTTTACAGCATCATCATGTCTTTTTTACAGATGCTTCATTCAGAGCAGGGCTACAGAGCAGCTGTAATGCCATCTAATCCATTTGCCTTAACCTGCCCTGCACTTCACAATTAAGGTTTTGTTTTGTTTGGACCAAAACCTGGATGTCTGTTAGGGTTATCAATTCCTCTTGGTTGCAGAAGGAAATTTCTCTCTGACTATTTCCCAGTCTCAGTGGGTTTTTGTTTTAAATGTAATAATAAAAAAAACAAGTGGAGAAACATGGCTTAGCCCTACTTCTCATCACTGTTGATACAGTTTCACTTTCCCTGTCAGTCTCCTATTTTCTCTGTTATTCAGTCAAAAGCAGTAGACCTTTGCTTCCTTTTCTCTCTTTACCAGGAAACAGAGGAACTGGGCCTGTTTATTGTGAATTACTCTTGGCATCCCTTTCCAGGGAGAGCATCTATGTGTGGGGAGGAGGGGTAGGGCAAATTACCTACTGTAAGTGATCTGCTTTGCCTTGTTTAATACCTTTGTGGCAATAACATCTTTTAAAAACATGTATAAATATTGAGAATGGGAACACACTATACCATCTGATGTCTTTCAAAGACTTATACAACGTGAAGCCTAATATACCTGCCTGTCTGTCCCTCATAAACCCTTTCCTCCTTCAGCCTATTGTGTTCTATAGCTGATTTCAGTGACAAGCTTCCTCCCAGCGCTTCCTTGGCCATGGGATTTCCATGCTCTTTGCAGTTCCTTTTGCTGCAGGTGATTTTGTGACTAATGCTGGGGTCCACCAAAGCTTGCCAAGGGCAGGTCACCAAGCATGGAAGCTTGATCATGTAGAGAGCTGGGCCAGCTGTGAGTGAACAGGTTTGGAAATGGTAGCTGTGTTAACACTGGAAAAGGGAGTTGGCCTGGTATGCTTGAGCATTCATAACATTAATGAAGATCTTTTTACCTCTGTAAGTGCAGTGCTTGCTGCTTACCAAGAAGCAAACTCTTGAGATACTATTTTCTTCTTCTCCCGCTTGTCTTTAGTGTTTGTCATGGATGTATGTTGTGGGTAACTGGAAGAAGCTGTAGCTCTACAGACGTGCATGCTTATCCCATCTCATGGCACCCTGGAATGTTTTTGTAGCCCTCTAACCTTAAAAGCAATTTCTAAGAAGGAATGAAAAATGTGCAAAGAAAAAAAAGGAGATAAATTTACAAGAAGAATCAGTAACACTAAAAAAGGCTCTGTACAACCTATACTGCAAATTCAAAAGAGTGAGGCCTTTGTAAGACCCCAGAAAACGCAAGTGATAATACTTCAGATAAAGAAGTGGTCACAGCTGGTTTTCTTGTTCACTTGTATCTGGAAAGTGTGAATAATTCAGGCTGGTACTTGGTTTTATTTTCATGTGTTTTTAAACTTGTCTACATGCAATATTCAGCATAATACGGAGCAACAACCATACATTGCAACTTTGGTGGTTTAAAAATGGGACAGCAGGAAAAACTTTGCTGGAAGGGTAGAGTGGCCCTGGGAAAGTTACCTAGAGAGGTGTGGAATCTCTCTGCTGGTAGGTTTTTGAGACATGCCTTTTTAAGACAGAACCAGAGGGCATCATCAAATATTTGTGATAGTCATGCTTCAGGTCAGAAATTTTATTAGGTGACCCTAGACATTTCTTTCCAATCAGCTTGTGTTTTCTTTTAATTACTATTTGTGTCTCAGTTATTCTACTTAACTGGAATAAGTTTCACCATGAAAAACAAACACAAAACTGTCAATTTATAGTCTTCAGCCCATGTCATAAATTCTGTAGTATCCAATTAATTTTTTATTTTTTTAGTGTAGTGCTGTTGGCCTCTGCATCCCATCCAGCAGGTAAAGTGAACTGAATTCTTCCTTTCTTAGGTTTCCATGTTGCTTTTGCTTTCTGTGCATGTTTTAAGGGAACCCTTAGAATTTTAGCCCTGAATATGACCAATAATATGTTATCATGTAGGAAGAGGACAGAAGGGTATATAACTTGATGTAAGTTGCATGATATTTCCCAATACCATTCTTAGCTATCCTTTGCAAACAAGCAGTATGGGACTGACAACAAAGAACAGTTTTTGGGGTGGTGCATGGTAAAGAAAAAGAATTCCCTAAGCCAACATGTCCTCTTCAGAGCAGTGTCCCAGCAGTTCATGTAGGACTGAGTTTCCTTCTCTGCATTGTCCCCAGTGCTATGCAGAGTTTTTGTTTTGTTTCTTTCATAACACGGATCCCATTGCTTGGGCCCATAGCAGGATTTGAAGTAGCAGTGTATCAGGTGGTAAAAATGGAGAAATTTTATGGTGGCTAATATTCTAGTGTGTTCATAATTAAGAGGGTAAAGGTGATCATCTGTTGCTTACATTTGTTCAGCCAGAAAAACGAAGAAGGAAGCATTTAAAGAAACATAAATTTTCCCTTTTTCCTGGTGGTGCAGATTGTGTATACAGGAAACCCCCCCAGGATAGACATACATGTTAAGTGAAACAGTCCTGCATTTAAAAAAGTGAAAGATGGAACTTCATGCAAATCTGTAGAGCCTGAAGGCCAAAGAACTCCTGGAATTGCCACCAAGAGCACCCAAGCCTGGGTTCCTGGAAATGCAAGTACTCAAGAGCTCTACTTAGACCTAGGAGAACTCTTTAAACCTCTCAACATGCTCTGTGTCACGGAGTTCAAATGCCAGAGGGGGAAGCAGCTGCCATATGTCTGTGTTTCCTGTTGTTTCAGTAGGAGCTATCACATGCTGCGTTATAAAAGAAGTGGATATGATACATGTCTGTCCACTGGCAACAGGACCTTCTGAACACTGGAAAAGAATAAATACTCTTAGGTATCCCTTTCCCCTTTTTCAACCAAAGGCAAGAACTGGCTAGAAGCAAGGTCAGAGAGAAATCATTAAACAAGCCAGAAATGTGGAAAGCATCATAAATGAAAAGTCAGCCAGCTGTAAAGACTCAAAGGAATGTTAAACTAGTAATGTTCATGTAATTGCTGTTGCATTGCTTGTAACAGTGGGTAATTTTTTTCCCACCTACTGAGTGTATTGCTTTGTCCCTCAGGTGATCTCTTCAGTGCCTTGGATTTTCCATTCCTGTACTTCTACAGGTTTCATAGCAGCTGCTGTGCCAGGTAACCTCTCTATAACAGGTCATGTAAATGTTTTCAAAATAAGAGGTTTAATTGACTTCCAGCCTGTACTCTCAGTTAAAAACTTTGTAGCATGTAAATCCTTGCTTATACTAGTTTCTGCTGCCGTAAGCCAGTAGAATTGCAAAGAACAAATCTTTGCATGTCTGTGGATATGCATTTGATGGCCTGAGACTCAAATGTGCTGAAAGTATGTGTTTCCTTGAGTGAGTGCATTCTGATTGGGGGAGTTCGCAGTCGCCAGTAAAATATTGTTTACCCAATGTAGCAAAGCTTTGATACATAGCATCTCTCAAATGCTTCTGAAGTCAGATTAACCCAAACTTGCTGTTTGCAGCAATTACTAAGTATTAGTCTTCAGCAGTATATGGATGTACATGGATTTATTTGCCTGTACATCTTGTGATTTGGCAGAATGCTGGTTTGGGTAAAAAGGAAAAGGTTTAACAAGCGTTTAATTATTTTCAGTAGCAAAAGTTCACTGTATATTGGCATAATTCTCCCAGGACAACATAAATATGTTTCCCATAGATCTTAATTTTTAAAAGATTCCTGTCTTTCCCCCTCAGTCTTTTACCAAATTATTTTTTTAAGAGGGGGAAAAAGATATTTTCATGCTAACTAATGGCAAAAATATTTCTTGAAAGGCATTTTCTGACTTTGGAATTTCTGTTGAAAGGGTATATTGAGAATGATTGTTAAATAATTTCCAACATACATAGGTTTTTGTTATGTTATTCCAAGTGTGGTCTATGCACAGTACAAGTAACTCACAATTAGGTATTCTGTAGGTAGGTGAAATCTATATTTCTCGAATGTGAGGTCTAACTGCAGGCTCTAATGGACATCAGTCTAGCCCAGATATTATTCTCATTCACTGCATTTACCTCTGTGGCAGCTTCCCACTTCTGTTTCCATTGGCCCACCTTCAGCACATGTGTAGTAGATAGCACTGTACACCAAAGGAAGGGGAAAGGAATGGTTAGATGGAGAAAAAACCATCTCAGTTGCTCTCCTACATTTTATAATTGAGTGTCTTTGTAGATATGTGGGATTTGGAGGAAAACCTATGCAATGTAAGGTAAGGGCAATTCATGCAGCTAAATCTACTGACTCTGAAAAGTATCTGAAGCATCAGCAGTAAGGTGGAAAGTGCTCAATTTATTTAATAAAATAAATTGCTGTTAATTGTGGCATCAATATTTTAGGTATTATAATTTGCTGTTTCACTTTTTTTATCTCTTGAGTTGTACTAAATATCTTCAAATCTTCGTGACTGAAAGCCCATCACAGCAGGGCAGAAGATCTGAAATAAGCTACTGGACTCTTAAAATTATGGGCAATGTTGGTTCATTGAACTCATTCATTTCTCAGAGTGGAATGCTCTACTGCTCAGCACTCCATCCCCTGCAACAAGTTGCTGAGTTTAGGCCTATCTTTTGTCATCAAAGCAGCATCTGCTCCCTTGACTTCAGACTTTACACACATCCCAAAGGATTTTGTATTATGGCTCAATGCAAAAATTCCCAATGCCTTCTACTCCTGGGAAGTTATCTTAACCTGCTCTTTGGTGCCTGTATGGACATGCAGCTGAGCTGGAACTTGGCCACATGTGTTGTACAGGGAACAGATGGTATACTGGAGCCCAGCACAGAACTTCTGACCTGAGGAGCCACCATTTTCCACCTTTCCTGCTGCTGTAGAGAGGGGACCAACTGCGTGGCACCTCTATCCAGAACATCATACCCTCTGTGAATTCCAAGGCACTTTTTGCTTCACCACCTGTCTGCCTGTGTTGATCCTTTCCCATGCAGCTTCCCACAGCACTTTGTCATCTCTTATGTCTCACAGTAATTTGTGCCTTGCATATTTTTTAGTTATTTTCTGTTCCCTACTTACACTGTTCCACTGGTTCACAGTCAGTGGGTTGTACATATGTCACAAGTGAAACAAAATCCAGAGCCAAACCTCATGAACTCCATAAAGTCTGTGGAGATGTGGAACAAAATTTCCTTAAGGGTAGTCTTGGCTACAGGAGTGCTGTGAACTGCTGTCCTGTAAGACTTGAGAATCAAAATTCTCTTAATTGTCAGCAGAAAACTTTGGAGTATCCTATTCCCAGCACTACTGAGCCATCTATTTGTTATACAGTAGAGATGTATTTGACTCCCTAATTGGAATTTTGGCTTCATGAAGTTTAAACAGCTTAAAAGCTTCAGGCAGAAACTTTCCAGTGGTTATTTTTTCAGTTCAAGGCTCTGTGGAGGTTGAAGTTAGTTAGTTGCCAAATATGTGTGGCTCCTGCTGAAATTAGCATTGCTGTTATTCAGAGCCATCTCAATGCCTGAAGTTAATATTTCACCTCATGTTTTCAATGATATCTATTTTTCTGATTATGCAAGTGCATTAGACACCAACCATAAGAGTGTCAGTCTTACTTTATTCAGATTCTAGTCACTGACTGAACAAAACACTAGGTGTACTGGACATAATGTAAGCTTCTTGTCCAGCTTTCATTCTCCAAATGGGACTGACACTGCAGTTCTTCATTAGGAAAACCAAGATGTCTGTAAGAGGTTGTTTAGTTGAAGTTAAGAGATTTTATTAACAAGCTTTCTCCATCCTTTGTAGTGGACTGTTGGGATTCTTTCTGATGTTGCACACAGTGAAGCTAAAAAGCAGCACAACCTCGGGGCAATATGCAGCCTGGAGTTTCCTTGCAAAGGTAAGAGAAAGACCCTCACAGGAACACAGTGGATCTGTGCATCTCCCAGGAGAACTGAGGAATTTCTGCATCTGTCTAGTTTCTCTTGCTATTCCACCTCGATGCTTCCTTGGTCCTGTTTGTGCAACCTGCGTGTAGAGCTGTGGCAACAAATATCAGGTGTGTAATATCCCAGGATCATTATCTGAGATGAAATACTGTGTGTAGACTGAGCCTAATGGAACTTGGATGATTATTGCAGCTAAGGATTTGGACTGTGGCATTCCGGAAATGCAAACCTATACTTTCCAAAGTGTTTTGAAGACTACGTCTTCTATGAGTGTGTGCACCAGCCATTTTGCACAGAGTTTGAGTGTGTCTTTCCTGAGCCAACAGTTACAGCTAATTCCCTGAAGTTCAATACCAAAACTCTCACTGTTTTTGTTGCAGAAGAGAGCTGAGGATGCCATTTGCCTTGACATTACTAGGGCTTTTGATGGTATGTCCCACAATATTATTATATAAAAATTAGAGTACTACAGTCTGGATGGGCAGATAACTAGATGGGTAAAAATATGGTTGGAGAATCATGTTCAGAAGGTAGAGGTTAACAATTCCTAGTCTAACTGGAGTCTTGTGACAAGTGGAATGGCACAGGGATCTGTCCTGGGTCCTTTACAATTTAATATCTTTATTGAAGAATGAGAAGCAAGAATGTGCACTCACATTTCCAAGGGACACCAAATTAGGAGGACCTGTCAATAATACTGGAGGATAGGATTGCCTTTCAGAGGGATCTGGATAGGCTGGAGGAATGGGCCAACAGAAATCCTAAAATATTCATCAAGGGCAGATGTGAAGCCTTGCATATGGGAAGGAAGAGTCGGTGGCAATAATAGAGCCTGAAGACTGCCTAGTTGGGAAGCAACTCTGTGGAAAAGGACCAGGGATTTTGGTAGACAGCAAGTAGGACATGATGCAGCAGTGTGCCCTGGCAGCTAAAAAAACCCTGAGTATCCTGGGCTGTACTTATAATAGGATAGACAGCAAATTTGTGGAAGTGATCATGACCTTCTCCTCAGCACTTGTTAGTCAACATCTGAAATAGAGAGCCTTGTTTCAGGCACCTCAGTACAGGGAAGATATTGATAAACTGGAATGAGTTTGGCAGAGGGTTGCTGGGAAAGTCAGGGGACTGGATCATTGGTATTTTGGGGAGTGGCTGCTGAATCAGGCTTGTTCAGCCTGGAAGAGGGACATCTTTGGGAGCACATAAGAAACAGCAGCCACCCAGTAGCTATGGAGAAATCATCCAGAAGACAGATCCAGATATCCTCTCTGTAAAATAAACAGAGAGGTTCAGATTAGGTACAAGGAAAAATTTTTCACCCCAAAGACAAGTCAGGCAAGGGCAGAGGCTGCCCAGGAAGGCTGTGCTGTTTCCAACTTTGAAGGTTTACGAGACCCAACTGGATAAAGCCCTAAGCAACCCAGTCTGACCTCCTGAGGTCCATTCCTTGTGGAATTATCCTGTGATCTGGGGTCTGGCTGTACTTGATTTAAGCTATTAACAACTCAGTTTTAAAATGATTGATGGCGAATGCAGTCAAAAGAGCTTGTCAGACTCCTTTTCCCTGCTTAGATTTTACTTAGTTTCGTCACTTTCATCTAGGTCATCTGAAAACCACAACCTTCTGATGTGGTTTGTGATCTCACCTTTCCTACTACAGTGAATGAAGCAGTTACATTATCACCCCCTCCCCACCCCAAACCCTAGATTCATAATATGCTTCTTTAGAAACTGTAGTCAAATGAGTCTGTTTTTTGTGGGGATAACAAGAGTGGAGTGATATTACTTGGTTTGTGCTTTGTAAGCTCTTCCCCAATGTACAAGTCACACAGTGTTTCTCACTAGTTTAAATTTCTTCCAAACATTGTGAGTGTGCAGATTTTAGTACCTCAGCTTTCTTCTTACTGCTTGGTAGCAAAGTCAACTGATCTAAAACTTGCTCTTGAGTCTTGTTTTTTTTTTTTTGTTTAACATTCTGGGTTGGAGATTGGAATAGCTGGCTCTGCTAGTAGGTGCTGTGAATGAGGGTAAATGGTTTTACATGTGGTATTTATGACCTACTGGAAAAAAATGCAAGCAAAAATGTGTTGTGAAATATATTTTAAGCACATTTGGGTCCATCCCAGATGAAGTGGATGAGAGCCATAAAGTCTGTATTGGATCAAAGTTTTCCCAGAGTTCAAAGGTTTCTAGATTTGTGGGGGTTTGGCCATCTCTAGACATAAGTGATATGAAGTTTGTTTTAGCCACTGTTGCCAATGAAATTATGTGCCTTCATGCCAACTAAAAGCTTGTCCCTGTGTCACTGGAAGAATTTAATCTGTTCTTTAGCCTTTAAAGTGCATGTTTTAAATGTACATTGTTTAATTTTCTTGCTTGGAAGGTTTTTGTAACAGAGCAATTAGTCTTTTTTCTGTTGCAGCTTCTAACCCAGTGCTCAAATTATATGTCTTATCTTGAGTTTGAAGAGGGCAATAATAATGAATACATGAGATCTATCTGTAGCACTAATAATTTTATCAACACTAGTAGTGTCCCTAAGTCTTCCGCTAGTGTTTTAAAGCTTGCTATGTGACTTATTTTGGGGTTCTACCATACCCATCTAAGGATGCATGAGGAGCATGGAGGAGCTGCTGCTCCAACTGCTGAAATGAAGCTGATTTAGGGTTAAAAGTCAGTGAATGCTTGAAAAGTTTGGAAGCACCATACATCTGTTTTAGAACAGAAATCAAAGTAGAGACAGACACAGACAGGCAGAAAGCAAGACCTGAACTGGAGCTTGCCTTAAGGGTAGGGGCTGATCTACTGGCTCCCAAAAAACTCTCCCAAGGAACCTTGTATCTACAAGGAACTATAAATTTATGTACTGTGTAGTTAAGATTTGAGTTCCATCTGTCTGATCGTTAATACTACTTCCTGCAGGTGTTTGGAAATGGTAAAACTGTGTACTGGTCCAGCTCAGCATTGCCCAGGTATGAGGGCTGTGTCAGTCACATCTTAAATCATTGTAAGTGCAGAAAAGCAGCATTTAACTAGCACTGTAAAAATCTGTTTAAGTCTAAGTGTATGGCTCCCTTAAAAAATAAACAGAAAAGGAAGGAAGTTAATGTGGATAAAGAATAAAGGTAGAAAGTATTTGTATCTGGACTTGCAGAATGGGATCCAGTGGGGAAAAAAAACCAAAAAAAAAACCACCTCTGGTCACAACAACAGCTTTGTGTTCCCACACGAGCATTTTTCTTGGATTGAGTAGTGCTCTAGATCATCCTCCTAATCTCTCAGACTGACTGGAGTTTTCACCAGCAGTTGGAAAGGAGCAGCGTTTGAGGCCAGAATATGTTTATCTTGCAAATGAGCCAAGAAAGGAGACTGCTGTAGTCCTCAGACAGCAGCACAGGCCTCTAGGGAGGTGCAGGGAATTGGAAAATCTGTTTTCCATTTGGATGCTTTGTACCTATGTGACTGATGAGCTGGGGCTGAGATTGTTGTCACAGCTTCATTTCCAATAAATTAACCATGAGATCTGATCGGCTCTGCTTTGCACATCCAAGGACACATTCTTTGTGAAGCCCACATATTTGGCCTCCCTGCCCTCTAATTTTTCATTCACTTAAAAACTGGAGCTGGGTTGTAACTTGATGTTATGATCTTTACTTTGGCTGTGGCAACTTAATCAATGCATGAGGTTTTTAAATTCTTTCCTGTAATGATTTCTGACAGCTCTCATGTTAGGTCATTGCTTTGCACAGAGACAGATGAAGCACAGATTTCATCTGTGTATAAAGTCCTGTGTGATAATTATAGTGACAAATGCTCTCTGCACTTTTTCTGTGAAAACAAATAGTGCATGTGTTAGTCATATCTGTATAAATTCCTGAGAAATGCAAAAAAATCAGTGAAGTGATCTGTATAAAAAAAAAAGTTTTTAAGAAGTCCAAGAAACAGGAAATGCTTTGTCATAGCCTTGCACAGATTTAATCCCCAGAAGAGCAAGGATCTGAAGCTGTACTGAGATTTCTTTTAATTTGAAAGCTGTGCTAGTATCCTGGGTCATATACTGGAAAGAAAAAACTGGAGATGCTCATATATACAGACAGAAGCATCTGGTGAGAATGCTAATGAGCTCTAACAGTGCTGTAAGTGAGTTTGTTTTGATTAAGGTTGCCAGTCTATATCTGGTGATGAAGCCTGTTAGGGTCTCTAAAAGTTAAGCAGCAGAAATAATTTAAATCATTAATAGAATGGAAAAATTCAGCAAGATCCTGGTTACTTGTGAATTTGTATTCCCAAGTATTTGTATTCCCATATCATGTTTAGTGTTATCCTAAAAAAATTGTAGTAGGGAATTCAGCTTGTTTCCAGTAAGAACCTATTGAAGCAGCTTGTTATAAACAGGAAGAACAAATGGGAAGGTCAATGGATTTTGAATTCTCTTTTTCTTCCTCCCTCACCTGAAGAAAGGAAATTCAATAACTGAAATTAAGTTGCATTGAGATTTACTGATTTTCCTATGCATGGGTTGGAAGGAAATATAGAATAATCGGATCAGGAGTATGCGACTATTTTCTATATAAACATCCCAGGCACTATTATGTAATCTATAATTTATCTGAGCAGTGTTGGAGGCTCCCTAGTACATAAAAGCATCCTCTGACAGCTGCTTTGGTTCCTTGTTTGTTAACTTTAGATGTGTATGCCCCAGGTCATCCTGTGTTTAATGCTGGCTGCCAGACATTGCAAAAGCAGCTTTGCAGGAGTGTCTGAAAGCATCTCTTATCTGTGGGTTCTGTGTACCAACTCTACTTATACCCCAGCAGGTTTAGTTTTCCTCCCAAATATATAATGGCTGTTCAGAATCCCTCCTGCTATTCAGAATGACTCCTGTATTCTTGGATTTCGTATTTTGTGTCTGTGTTTTTGCTTCTTTGCTCCCCGTGGTGTCTTGAAGAGA